TAGTTTGTGTCTCCATGCATTCATTATGGTTTTATAGAAACACCATTGATTTTTGTGTTTATTTTGTATCCTGCCAATTTCCTGAATTTTTTCACCAGATCTAAGAGGCTTTTGGTGGTCTCCTATGTAAAGCATCATATCTGCAAATAGAAATAATTTGAGTTTTTTCTTTCTTATTTTATGAGGAAATTTTAGGCGGTGGATTTAGTAAGTATTCAGAGTGAATCTGACATTATAATAGTCTGTTAGCTTTTAAAGATTATCCTTCAATCTTATTCTTTCCTAAGTGCTCCTGGAGGACCTGTTGTGTGCACGAAAGGATGCTAAGTCCTGCAAAAAGCGAGATGCTGAGGCTTGGCTGCTGCCCAGTGCCACCGAATGTGCTCTCAGCTCTTCCCTGGTGCCAGCCTTCCAAGTGCCAGGGACCTCAGCTTGCATTTTAGGGGCTCTATGTAGGTCCTGGTCATGTAATGGGGTACATCTCTTTGGTATAGGTCAGATGAGATTCCTACTCACAGTAGGAAGTCAGGCTGCTGTCAAACGGAGCATGGCCATATATTTTATCATCTAGAAAATATAAATAATGGGAGGGCTTATGAATGATGCCAGGCATGAGCTGGAAGATGAGTAACAGATGTGTGCTCCTGGGACACTCTGGGAAAACCTGGATGCTCGGTCACTTGCGTTGGCAGAAGTCCTTCAGCAGAAGGGAGCCGTGAAGAGAGGGACCCAGGGGCAGCTGAGCTGCTGCGCTCCTGGGGAGCCCTGCAGGCCTGGCCAGCGTCCCCCTCCTCGTCCCCCCCATCTGCCATTTGTTAAAGCCAGTCCTTTCCATGCCCTGCCTCCCCATGTGGTGGCCTCATTTCACACCTACTACGCCCTTGGGGTCCTGAGAGTGGCTGTCACCTCTGGCTTGAAGCTGGGGATTTCGAGTTCAGTTTTAGCAATAAAGAGGCAGAATGATACAGTAAGAACCACACTTCTGAATTCCAGGGTCGCTGTGCCTCGGTCTTTATTTGTATCCTTCACACGATGAGGACATTTATTTTAACATCCCTTCAAGCTCAAAAATTTCAGATAGGGGTCTAAATACTTACCTAAATTCATTGTGACCAGTCATAGGCTGGGATCCATACAGTTCTTAGGTTTGTTTTAAAATACTGTGCGTCATTGAGTCATTGCTATAAGACCTGGGTCAGAACTTTATAATTCAACCATCAGGCTCTGCTGCATTGTTCTCAGTGGGAAGAATATTGATATAAAAAAATCAGTTCAGATACTACCAAATTAGTTTGCTTAAACACATAGAAAGCTTTGGATTTTCAAAGCTCTTTGGATTTTATAGCTATGCAGAAGGGGCAATGGGAACTAGACTAGTGAAAGGGTTGGAATCAAGCAAACCTCAGTAATGCAAATTACTGTGTTCTATTTTCATTCTTAGCTTGAGAGGTATAGAGTCATCGTGTAGCCTGAAAGGGCCATTGCATGGGAAACGCTTCTCATACCTGACGAGTTTTAAAAAGTCTAAAGACTCATAAAAATCATGATAGTTGTGTCACTGGACTTTGTGCATGGTTTTGGTTGTAGAGGCATAACTAATCACTGGACAGAAAGATAATACAGGCCACATCGGGGTGTTCTAAGAAAGGTTCTTCTAGGCCTTCAGGACGCAGTGCCTTGTAGGGTGCTTGCCTAACAGTGTTCGAGTATTGCAAAAATGAAATAAAAGTCTCACCTGGTGGATCTCATGATTGTCAAGTCTGACACTGGGGTGCATGGAAGGAGCAGCAGCAGCCAGCCAGGAATCAAGACTCATGAGCTCGCATTGCATCTCTCAGTCATTGCAGACATCAGTGATGTCAAAGCAGGTATTTCCTGCCTCCCCTGGGAAGAGCCTGGAGACCCCAGGCCTCCCCACTGGCAGCAGCAGATTCGTAAACTTTATACTTAACCTTCAGTTAGGTCCTTTACTAATGAAAGCATTGCATATGGACTCTTTCAAAACATAAAAAAAGAAGAAGGAAACACATGGACCCATCACGGTTTGCTCCATACTATTTCAATACAGCTAGTCATGTATTTTTTTTTAAAAAAGTCTTAGTAAAGCCAGCATGTAAACTAGAAAGAAGGAAATTATTAAAAGTGATACCAATTTAAGGATAATTTTGTGGACTTCGTTTTAGACTAAATATGGAACAGGTGACAGAGGCAAGTTAACCACCTCTACCATGTCCCGGAGAATGATGGGGGTGTGGACTGAGCATTTGGCTGAGGTACTGGGATAGAACCCAGGGCTTTGTGCACGTGAGGCCAGCAGTGTACCACCTTACTACATGCCCAGCACTTTTCATTTTTTATTTTGAAATTGAGTCTCACTAAATTATCCAGGCTGGCCTTGAATTTGTAATTCTCCTGCCTCAGCCTCCCAAGCATCTGGGATTACAAGTATGCACCATCAAACCTGGCTGTGGATGGAGTATATACTGTATGTTGAGATAAGGTCACAGGGCAGGAACAGCCCAGCGAGGAAGTACAAAGGTGTCTGCAGAGTGAGGGGTGTTCTCCTAAATCTTCAAATCCAGACAGTTCTGCAGTTAAATGTGTGCCACAGGCAGCTCTTGGGGAATTCAAAGGGCTGACAACATTGGCAGGTTTGTGGAGTCTTCAGTATAAAGGTGTGTTCTTGATCAGACAGTAGATTGGACACTCTCATAGGTGGTCTTTGCTAATTACATTACAGAAGTAAAGGGGTGGCAGCCATATATTATGTGATCCTTTAGCCCAGTTGATCAAAGCAGTGGTTATAAAGTAGGATCGATGACCCTTGCTTGGAGAGGTCATAGATCAGAGATAATCTGCAGACTCGTCAGGCTGCAAAGACAACGCACATCTGTGGGCATGGCCTGCTCAGAAACAGAAGGGCAGGAACTGCTTTTATTTGGATTGAACCAATGCTGACATCAATCTTAGGTGAAGCCTGTGCATTTCTGAAATTTACACCAATATGGAGCCAAACAAATGGAGTCTATATTTTAGATGCGTACGTCTACCAGTGTGGGAAACGGGAAAACTTTAGCAAGAAGAGCCTGCAAAGCCGCCCTGCCCAGCTTCCCCTTCACTGGAAGCCTATTAAATTTTTCCACTTTTTCAACCTTTTTCACTCCCCGGACAGGTGCAGCACAGAGCAGAGTGTGTAGATCACAGTGGAGCGAATTGAGACGAGCTGCCCTTGCTCAAGTACTGACTGGTGGAAATCAAGATTTCCTGCTAACAGCAGGAAATCTGGGAGAGTTGTTTTATTGAGGGGGTCATACCAGGAATCAAACTCAGGACCTTGCGCTTGCCAGGCAGGCACTGTGCCACTGAGCTACACCCGCAATCCTGTTCTGGGAAAGTTTTGTCAAGTGTCTGAGATGCTCATCTGACCCACAGCAGGTCTGGCGGAGCATATTCATTTTGGTCAGTTACCTTTGTACTGGTCAGTGGCCACCAGCCGGCTGCTAGTTTCACGTAACTGCTTGGAAATCATGTGTCATTGTTTACCAAGTGGACGGGTGCTGGAGGGAGAGATGGTTGGGTCATCACCTCTGGCACAGACAGTCAGAGAAACCAGTGCTCAGAGAACACTGAGGTGGGCTTTAAGAGGGCTGTTCTGTCTTTGGGGGTGAAAATGAGCATGTATTTATGCAAACAAGGCCAGAATGTCCTTTATCAGTGGACAGGAGAGTCCATGAGCCAGGCCCGGTAATTTCAAGGATACTTTTCCAAAACTTTGTCTTTTATGTATCTTTCCATTGCTTTTTTTTTTTTTTTTTTTTTACTTCTAGGGAAAAATGGCTCAAGCTGTGAGTCTGCGTGGAGAGCAAAACTTCGGTGCCCTGGGAATTGCACAGGAAGAGAGGAAGCGCCATTCCTTTCTCTCTTTTTCCTTTTTCTTCTTTTAATCTTGAGTCATCTGGTCTGGTTACGTCAGTGGTCCTGGACTTACTAAATTAACTCATCTTTTGCTTTCCTGGGGGTTTTGGATCAGGGTTTAGAGTTGGCATGCATAGTTCATTTGGATTTCTTACAAACTTTTAGTAGTCTCTGGTTGTCTGAAAGACTTTTTTCTCCTGTATATACTGAGAAAGTGAAATACCTGTGATGTTCTTTTCCATAAACACTGAGGTCCAGCATCTCCTTCCAGAATGCTCTCTCTCTCTCTCTTTTTTTTTTTTTTTTTTTTTGGTACTGGGGATTGAACTCACGACCTCATGCTTGCCAGACAGGCACTCATGCCACTGAGCTAAATCCTCAGCCCAGAATACTATCTTTGAGAAGATTTTGGACAATTTTTGTAGAGTTGTATATGCTTAGGATTGGAGAGTAGGTCTTTCTTTGGTTTAATATATGGTATGTCATTGTGACAAAATATCCTAGCAGTTTGGAGAATTGTTGTAGCTTACCAAGGTGACTCTCACCAAGAAAACTTTTGGATCACTATGTTTTAGGCTGTAGCATGCTTGAAATATCAGAAGGGCAATCTGAAAAAGCAGGATGGAATAGCACAAAGGGAAAATGCTTATTCCAGGGCTCCTTCGGTGAGAAAAATCGGTCTTTCATGTCTCTGAGATGACACACAGAGAAGACAAGACAAATAGTTTTAGGCCGATGGAGGTATGAACAGAAATAACTTCATAGACACTGAGGCACTATGTGCTTTACATAGAAAGAGTAATAACATGTTTTCATGTGCGGAACACAGTGCCCACCGTGGTGGCTTACACTGCTCCTGGTCACTAAAGTCACTCACTGAGCTGTGGAATTCCACTCAGGGTTCACCTGAGTCTCCGAGATGTGCTTTGTCCACGAGCAACTGGCCAGTATGAGCAGAACGTGGATTCCAGTTAGACTCGTCTGCCTCCAGAGTCCTCTCCTTCCAGCTGTATCTGTATCTAAGTTTTTTATGCTTTATCAACGAAGAATAATTCTCAATTAGTGTCTTGTGTTTTGTTTCATAGCTCACTATTTATGTCCAGCCACAGCAAAAGCACACAGCTGAATATGCTGCAAACATAACCAAACTTGTGTTTGATTACTTTGAAGAATACTTTGCTATGAATTATTCTCTTCCTAAGTTAGGTAAGAATTCTTTTTCTTTTGTTTTCTTATTTTTAAATATTGTCTTTCTCTTTACCTAAGTTAATTTATCCCACCCTATCACCATCAGTTAATGGCCCTGCCTATCATTGGTATCTAATGCTTGCTGTGTAATGAACTACCCATTCTGGATTTCTCTACCAATAATGAGAATCTTCTGTCTTTCTGATAAATGTTTAGGCGTCATTTCCAAAGAAAGGTGAAGTACATGCACTGAGCTGCAAGCCTATTAATGGTAGCACCAGAAACAGCACTTACATACGTGGATTTTAAAAATCAGTGCCAATCTCAGTCAGTCACCTGCTCCCCAACACCGGCACATTGAAAACGGCGGGGCATACGATGCGCTAAGAATCCCACGTGCTCTCAATCGGCCAACGCTGAGTAAAAGCAGCTCTGGGTGCCTCAGGAGTTACCCCTCACATCAGTGTAACCTTTTCCACTCTGTAGAACGGGGCACGTTTTCTGTTGTCAATGGCAGAAGTATGTTACTCATGAACTTGAGATGCATTAGCAGAACTCTTAAATATAAGCCCCTTAGGACGTGTAGAGGGTTAAAATGAAGGCAGGGAGGGAACCAACCAACCAACAGTTGGCTTCCCTGTTCTGTTTCTGCGCTCTCTCTAGTAACTTATCCACGCAGGGTAGCTGGGATGCCTGGGCCTCCCCAGGAGGATGGCCGTGGCTCTGAGTGAGTGCGCACGTTCCCTTTTCTCATCAGTGGGAGCAGTGCCCATTTTTTATTTCTTAACAGCTAGTAGAGGAGGCAAAATGAACAGCAGCTTTTTGTCAGCATCAGAAAAATAATTGATAATATGTCAAGTTCCTGCATTCAAAGGTCCTTTCCTCCTCTCGCTCGTGACCCCTCGGATGATCTGGGGGTGGGACTCGGCTCCTTTCTCTCCTCTCCTGTTTGTCCCTTTCTCCTGCTCCCTCTTTTCAGAACCAGCTCTACCACGGGGTCCTTAGAAATGCACTCATGTGGCCAGCCGTGGTGGCGCATGCCCATTATCCCAGCACTCAGGAGGCTGAGGCGGGGGGATCATTGTGAGTTCGAGACCAGCCTGGACTACAAAGTGAGGCCAAGCCCAGCCTAAACTGCATAGTGAGAACTTGTCTCAAAAAGAGAGAGACAGAGAGAGAGAGAGAGAGAGAGAGAGAGAGAGAGAGAGAGAGAGAGAGAGAGATACTGGTGTTAATTAATTATAATGCTACTACTCACCTGAGAAACTCAATTACAAAAATTCCTTTTGTTCAGGGATGAGATGCAGGTCACACTCTGCAACACTAAGAGAATACTGGCCCTTGGGGGAGACACTTCTCCAGCTTTTCAGGGAGAATCTTAAAACAAAATGATCAACCTGAGAAATGAAGATACTACTGTGCTTTCGACCTCTACTTAAGAGACATCATTTTTATTCTTTTATTAAAATCTTATAAAATATTTTAACCAGAAGAAAGGGCCTTTCTTACATGTTAGGTCAGAAATTCAATTTATTCATTTCTGTAGCTCATGTAAATTATGCATCACAATAAAGAAACTACATTCTGATTAGCATTCACTAACGGGAAAAGGTGTGCTTTCTATTAACGAACCAAGTATTTTCCATTTGGGGATTGAACACAGAGTTGCTCCGCACTGCCTCCTCCTGTGGGATATTGTGTCTAAGGTTGTAGACCCCACAGAAGATAAAGAATAGAAACTCTTCACGGAAGAGAACATTCTAGACTTGGGAATGAACTAGTTCCATTTTTCTCGAGCTTCTTTGATACATCTGAACATGGAGAGCTATTAGACTGGAGGAGAATCAGGTTGACTTCAAACTGTAGAGTTAGGGTGGAAAACGGAGTTTTGTGTCCTCCGATGCTCTGTGTCCTTGGCCAGACTTCTCTCTCTGTGCACTAAGAGCTCTGTATCCCTTTGTCCTCATGTAAATGCACGATTCTCTTTTTCCCTACAGCTTACCCCAAACAGATGCTTCCCATTACCTAAGTGAAAATCATGGTAGAGAACAGTGAAACACTGTACAAAAGGGAACAAAGACACAAAATAATAGAGGCCTTGAAAAAACTCGTGAGGATCCTTCTTAAAAAAAAAAAAAAAAAAAAGGCTGGGGGAGAGGAGAGGGATACATTGGTGTCTGGAACCAGCAGGAAAACTTCATGGAAATTTTGAGTGTTTAGAACTGAAATGTTTACACAGATGATTATGGCTTTTCACTCTAAGAAATTATTTTTAGTCTTTTAAAAAACACTCAAGCAACTTCACTTGGTAAAAAAAAAAATACTGTCAACAAATGGAAAGACCATCTCTTTCACGGGACTTCCTCTTTTTCCGTAGATCAAATCGCTATTCCAGATTTTGGCACCGGTGCCATGGAGAACTGGGGACTCATCACCTACAGGGAAACAAACCTGCTCTACGACCCCAAGGAATCGGCCTCATCCAACCAGCAGCGAGTGGCCACAGTGGTTGCCCATGAACTTGTGCACCAGGTATGGGATCCTGACAGCCAGGCGCTGCTTTTAAAACTGGCTTCAGGCCAGAAGAGTAATTTATTTGTGACTTAGCAAGTAAAAATAGCCAACTGAGCAAACCCTGCGTGAAAACCATTTCTCATGCACATACTCATTGAATCACAGAGAAACTTGAAAATGTTCGTTTTGCGTTATCTGTCCACGGACAGCTTTTCCATGTGGTTACTATTCCCTGTTGAACCTAAACAAAGGCAGTAAAGCAAGGAGCATCAACTATCACTCAAAAATCAGGATAAATAGAGCAGGAAATGGGTCGAGTAATGTCTGCTACTTCTGTGACACAGTGACACAGTTTATATGAAGAAATGTTTTTAAATTCTCAATGCCTCTCTGTCCTGAGAGTAAAAATATAGCCATCTCTTTGCTCTTTTTGGTTGCAGTGGTTTGGAAATATTGTGACCATGGACTGGTGGGATGACTTGTGGCTAAATGAAGGATTCGCTTCTTTCTTTGAGTTCCTGGGAGTGAACCACGCAGAAAAAGACTGGCAAATGGTGAGCCTTGGGTGCACGTGCACCAGACCTCTATTTCCTTTGTGCAAAGTAGACTGAGGGCCCTGGACTCTGACGATGGCCTTGAGTTGGGGTCCAGGGCAGTGGCAAGTTGGGATGTCTGCTGTAGGGCTGGGGGAGCCTGCCTTGCTGAGAGCCTCTGCTCAGTCCCTGGAAAGCGCCTGGCTACCATGGCCTGCAGGTATCTATTACAGTGTCACGCAAATCACGGGCCAAGGCAGGACCAAGACATCTAGTGTGGAAAATGCCAACCCTGTGTTCAAGAAAACAGCTGCCGTGCTAACTCTTTGAAAACCGTCTGGCTCATTTTTGTAAATCACTTACTAGAGAAAGGTTGCTTGAAATAGTGTGGTCAAAAACAAAAGCATAAACTTAGTGTGAAAGCTCATGTCCTGGCACATTTCTTACGTGCAGAAACAACTCAGTTCTTTCTTCATAGCGCGGTAAGAGCTTTGTTTATTGTGCTGTTTTATAAGCTATCGTGAGCATTCATGTATTCATGTCCTGAGCCAGAAACAAAAATTTCACTGCACTCTACAGATATTGGTTGGTCTTTTTTTATATAAAGAAAAGTTACATATGTGTCATATTTACATTTAGATCATGTAAGTATTCTTCTCTGATTGTATGTATGAGGGTGGAAGCATACATGAACATCCATGTGTGGATAATTACATGAGTTGTGTAGATGTAGCATATTGTCCTCTACTGAAGTAAGTAGAAAATTAAGTGCCTGAAGCCTTTGAAGTTCCTCTAACCTACTTTAAAAATGAGTGATTTGCAACAGTTGTGTCTTTGAAAGTGTAACCAACACCAGGATTTGTCAAGCATGGCCTGTTGACATTTGGAGACTGCATTCTTTGCTATGTGAGCTGTCCTGGGAATTGTGGAATATTTAGTGGCATTCCTGGCCTTTGTCCACCAGCTGCCAGGCACCTTCCGGCTTCAGCTGGTAACAACTAAAAGCGTCCCACGTGCTTCCACCAGACACCCTCCCTGAGAACCGCTCATCTCCATGACCATTGCTGTTTGCGTATTTATTGGAAATAAGCCACATAAATGAAGAATTATTTTACCTTTTGATTTCCTTCTTAAAGTAACTCAATGCTCTTCTTATATCAAACTGCTACAGTAAGTTATGACATTTTGAATATCCTCCAATATTAAACTTTCAGGGTTTCAGAAACACTGACTGAATTCCAGAAGGATTTGTTATGTAAGTCTTGAGATTTCAATGAAATTTAATCCTATGGCATAACCACCCTCACCATTCATTCAGTAAATGCTGAAGAGGACCCAAAAATGGGTAAAATGCATTTTCAGCCTTTAAGAAGTTCTCAGCTGTGGCATTATGGATGAAGAAATCAGACAATTAAAGAAATTTTATAAGACAGCTTGATAAATACTACAATAATGGAACTTCCTTTAAGCAGGGAAAAATTTGAGAGCAGGATGTAATAAAACCTGGCAATTATTAAACAGACAATTGATATCCAAGCCAAGAATGCAGTCAAATTTCCCAATATTAACAACGGGATTCTTTCTACTTTCCTAAACCTCGTAGGTATATAAAAAATCAGAATCCGGGTCCAAATTATCTTGATGGGTACCTATCACTTAACAGAAGAACCTTGTCAGTTATAAATGGAAATTATAAAATTAGAAAATGCAGGCTAATGGAGCCTGCTTCTGTTTTGGAAGTATTTTTAGTGAGGCTGGGTCAGTAAAGCTTTTGAGTTTTGAAATTAGTAGTGGTTTAACAGATAAGAATCTTATTGCTTAAGAATGTGTTGGGGCTCCACTGGGTCAGGTGCAAGGCCAAGTGCTTACGTGAATCATCTCTTTCAACCTGTGTAAAAGTCCCACAAGTAGATGCCATTGTATCCCCCGTTTTTATGAAGTGGGGAGCTTGCTTAAAATACCAGAAGAAAGGAAAGACCAAGCTTGGAACCAGGAGGTCTGACTATCCTGCTAGACCTATCAGCCACTCCATTTTGCTGGGAAAAGCTAGGATGGAAATGACAATTGATTGTTGGAACTAAAGATAAACTGTTTTCTCTGATTAATTACGAGTCACCCAAATTCCAGTACCAAACTGCCATGAAGCAAAAACTGAATTTCAAATTTGGCCAGCTGACATGCTGCCTCGTTTTTTTCTCAGAACCAGTCTGGGGACTGATGTCGTTGTGCAGAAATGGGTTTGACAAGGTGGGCATGTGTCCAGAAGTTACACAAAAGTGAATTCTGAAACAAAATTCGTCAGTGCTTGCGCTGTCTCGGCCTGTCTGGAGGAGACATCAAGGGAGTTACACCAGAAGAAGGGAATGAATAGAGCAAGACCATGGCTGAGATCTAAATGGTCCCCAAAGTTGCATTTGTTAGAAGGTTTTGGGATCGTGAGGGATGCCGTGCTCGCCTGCGGGGTCACCCGTGGATGCACCACTTACAGCTGAATGTGCTGTTGGGAGGTGCAGCCTGGCTGGAGGTGGGTGCCTGGGAGCATGACCTGAAAGGTCCTGTCCCTGGCTCCTCTCTCTCTGCCTCCTGGGTGCCACGGGATGAGCAGCTCTTCTGCCCTGCATTTCTATCTTGGAGCCAGCTGACCATGGACTGAACCCACTGGAAACTGAACCAAGTAAACATCCTCCCTTAAAGCTCAAGGTGTCGAACATTATGTCCCAGAGACAGGAAAGAGACTGACACCAGCAGCCAGCACAAAATATAACTTGAAGGCATAGTATTTTTTAAAAGCAATTTAAGTCCTTTTTATTTATTTTCTCCCTTTCTTGTTATATGTGGTTTTATAAAACATGAATGAGTATAAAGGAAACGCTGTATTTCTTTGGTTCATTCTGTCATTTCAGCTTGATCAGGTGTTACTTGAAGATGTATTACCTGTGCAGGAAGATGACTCTTTAATGTCTTCCCATCCAATTGTTGTTTCTGTGGAAACCCCTGCTGAAATCACGTCTGTGTTTGATGGAATCTCCTACAGCAAGGTGGGGAAGAGATGGCACTGTTTTGAACATCTTTTTATGTACTGACTTTTCTTCCAGTAGATGATTGAAAATGGTAAGAATGGTTAGATCAAGCCAGTGAGCTCTGGAAAATAGGATAGAACTCCTTCCCAGTGAAGGATGTTTAATAGTTTATGCTTTTCAGAAGAACTGATAAATATTGGTCATTGCAGTAAGATTTTGAATTTCCAATTTTTAAAAATTGATTCCAACTTAAAAATGACTTCCAAGTTTTAAAAATTTCTGTTTTTCACCTTTGCTTATAACTGCTTTCATCCTGATAAATCAACACGTAGGGTTTAAGTACCAAATTAAAATCTTTTCCTTAATGACAATAAATCTCACTTTTCTGCTGTATGGTCACTAAGGAATGTCATGTGTGCAGGCACCTTGTGTAGTACAATCATTGAATTCTCCCAATAAACATTTCAATCCAACTCCGTTGGAAGGAAACAGTCTTGTAATGTTTACATAAGATTTAAGGATGACTCTGTTAGCGTATTCTAAATGTGGCACTTTTATCCATTAAAATTCTATGAGATGTTGCTGAGAATCCACAACCTAAACTTCTACGTTTCCCTTGTCTCCACAACCCCTCCTGCAGACATATTCCACACCTGTGTGCAAATTAATGTAAAGTTTTATGTTACTTTACAAAGTTTGTATCCATTTCTCATAGATCACCCACTATGTTAAGTGATTCAAAACTACTATAATGTATTTTGTCATTTAGAGTGTTGCCTAAAGATACTATTATTTATTTATATTATGGTTATTTAAATGAATACTGGCTTGATTGAAGAAACTACGTATCAGTACTTGAAATTTATAGTGTCATATTTTTGAGTTCTCATTATTATTTTCATGGCATCTTTCCAGGGTTGTTTTATCTATTTTTTTCACATTATCAATGTTTCTTTTTCTCTTTGTGTTAAAATGAAAATATGCACTCTACTTACAGCCAATTGTAATAAGTCACATAGAAGAAGTTAGAACCAGTTTCACCCAAATCCTAGTTATCCTAGGAGCTTACAATATTAGATTGTAAGTACCTTACAAGTAAATGTTTCAAAGCCCTTAGCTTTCTAGGTAGGTAAAAAAAAAAAAAAAAAAAAAAAAAAAAAAAACAATTTAAAATGTTGGATAAATTATAAAATAATTACTAAGTTAAGTGGAGAACAATGTTTTTCTGGTAAGTTACTTGGAAACTGACCTTACAAGAGTGCATCCTGGTGTTGATTTTGTAACACTTGAAAGTAAAAGGCAGAGCTCTGCATCAGGTTCTTCAGATGAAAGAAAACCAAATGACGAAGTATTCACAGTCAACAGATAATTCTTCAACTCTATAGAATTAGCTTCTGCTGCTTACTAACTAAATATTACTAGTTTCTGCCAAATATAATTATTTTTCCAGTTGTGAGATATGTTAATAAGTTGTCATTATTTTACCCTGGAACAATTTTTTTCATCAAAAACCGTTTCTCACTGCCCCTTTCTCTCGCAATGCTCCATCTGCTGATTCATTTGAGGAAGTGCAGTGGTTCCTGGCCCGTGAAGCCACTGGGGGACAATTTCAGCAACTTCCCTTTACCCTTTAGTGCACAGATGTCCAGAGGCTATGCCGAGTGATACTTTTATCCTGGAATTACAGAACTATCCCGTATAGTTTAATATCTTCAAGAAAGAGTTTCACAAATACGATCACAAAATTAAGTTCACAGTGGGGATACCTGATACCTGTTTCATTACATCATCTGGATCACCTTGACTTGTGATTTTTCTCCCCCACAGGGAGCTTCCATTCTGAGAATGCTGCAAGACTGGATGACGCCTGAGAAGTTTCAAGAAGGATGTCGGGTATGATTCACTGCTTTCGGTGCTGTTAGAGCTCCACGGAAGGTGGTTGATGAAGGCTACGGTGTAGGATTATTCAGATCAGTTCCCTTTTCGCCTTCCTTTTCTTCAGGGACAAATAACATAGCAAAAGATAAGAAGCAGTACCACACCCAGCAAAGTTTAAACAGATCATTGACTTCTGAGGCCGTTCACTGGTGTCCTCGCTTGGCTCCCATGAGAAAACACCATGGGGGCTCACCCTGCAGAACTCTTTTCTCACCGTTCTAGGGATGGAGGAGCCCAAGACTGAGAGGCCGGCCAGTTCGGTTTCTGCTCGGGTTCTGTTCCTGCCCCCTCCTCCGGGTCACCGGCCCCCTCCTTCCTGGGCCGATGGGGTGAGGGTGGGGTGGGGCATGCTGATGTCTCTGTAGGAGCACCAGTGTGATCGTTGGGGCCTCACCCCTGCTGCCTCCCCCAGGCCCCACTGAGAGCACGACTCACCCATCACAAGGTATAAAATACAAGTAGCTCCGAATGGCCGTTCCCTCACAGGAAGTATGCAGCGTTAGCCTTCTCCTGGGACTGGAAAGTGACTTTATTGCTTTTATGATAGAGTCAGTGAATAAAGAGAGCCCGCTTCTTTTTTGGAAAGAGAAATAAAAGCAGGTTTTCTAGAGGTTTTCCCACATCCCACTTAGGCACATTGCTCCGAAGGGTGTTCTGGGTTCAGGTCTGTTTTTCTAGCAGGTCCTAGGTCAGCAGTCTCAGGGCTGCTCTTTATAACCGGAGTGACCCCAGTCTCCACGTGTGAGCCCTGCTGGCTGCCACCATGTTCAGGTGAAGCCTGGGACTGCCCCCACTCCTTGCCCTACTCGGATAACCCAGATGTTTAGCTGTGGCAGTGCTGGGGCCATCCATCCCCTAGAGCAGAAATCAGGTCGGGGAGCAGCACCCCGTTAGTTTCCACACAGAGTACCCGCCCTTCTTGGCATGTGACTCCCCAGGGCCAAGCCACAGCCCCATCACTGCTGTGTCTTAGTGGGTTTAGCTCTTTCTCTGACACTCCAACAGGAAGTGCTTTCACCTGCATCGATACTAAAATTTTGGTGCCTATTAAAGTAGCAAGACTGAGATCTGAGAACGAGGCAGGAGTGTGCTGGGACATTTTAGTCTTGTTCACCAACAAAATACTCTATGCAGAGATTAGGCACAAAAGGAAGGTTTGTGTCTCTGCGTATCTCTAACTTTCCACCAGATTTAGGTGTCTCACGTCCTGCCCGTTGGAAGCAGCATCACTGAGAGCCCCGCGTATATCTTTTGCGTACTCCAGTGCTTAGCAGAATGCATTGCACACCGTAGATGGTTCAGAAGATGTTTGTTAATGAAAGAGTGAATACTTAGTAATAGTGAGAACAGTTATTAGAAAAGAAGGCTCATTTTCAAAAATTAAAATTCCATTCACATAATATTGAGTCCAAATTAAGTTATCATTGATAAATAAAATAACATACTTTGGTATCTTCAGAACTGGCTTCAAATTAAATGATCTTTCATATTAACTCTGTTAGGGAAGCTCCAGAAGAGTCCTTAACACCGAGTAGGCAGGGCAGGGACATGGCTTGCGGACAAAGCCCTCGCCTGGCTTCCTGAGGCCCTGGGTGTCCAACCCCAGCCCTGAAAAGAAGAGTGAGTAGATGGTCTAATAACTCAACCATACACTCACATCTCCTGTAGGATGTTATGCTTGTCTAAAGCGGGTTGTTTCTCTAGTTAAAAGCCTTTCTCTACCCTGTGAGTGCAGATGGGGCTAGACGCTAAACTAGGGTAGACAGCGATTTCTTCTCCTAGCGGAGTACTACAGAATGATTTACAAAAAACTCCACCAAGACACCCTTTCCTTTTCTCCTTCGAATAACAGCTGATACCTGGTGGTCCCTGCAAGCCCATCTATTAAGCTCTCAGGCAGGCCAGGCTGTCTTGTCCCTGCTCAGCGCAGGAGCCCGCACTTCGGCTCCCTGGAGCTGTGCTGACCTCACGGTGCTGCCCGTGTCCCCCTTCCCTGGCAAATACTAACTCCGGGCAACGTGTTGCTCCATGACTTGACCTGGGGGTGCCGGGCCTGGACAGAGCCAGGGGTCTGCTCTGTTTCTTGGCATCGCTTTCCACAAATCCAACAGCAGGCAGCCAAGAAGGTGCAGAGTGTTAAAGGGAAGCACAGGGCCCCATCGACGGCAAACCGGGCATGAGAAGCTCGGCCTGCACCGGGCAAAAACTCGGCAGCCCACCTCGCTGGCCTGGAATCATGGCTGGGATGCAGAGGGAAATCTCCTAATGTACAATATTCAGGAGCACTGCTTAGACAGAATCAGAGCCTTTTGCTACAGTGTTTCTATAAATTTCCTCTGGGCCCTTCGTTCAGGGGACTCCATAAAACGCAATTTTAAAATGTAGTACATTGTAATTTAAAATACAACTGTGACTAAAACCATGCATGTGGGTCCGGGGCTCAGGATTCTCCTCCTAGCGATCTCGGGTAGCTTTCTTCACCTCCGTGGGCACCAGGCAGAGCCACTTTCTTCACATCAAAAATGTGGGATTTGTAGTCTCATTAATATTATCTATTCTGGTTCCAGAGATTTCAAACTTTATGAGTATACAAATAAGTACTCTAAATTAATTTTAAAAGCTACTACTTAACATCAGTTGTCATTAACACATACATATAGATATAATGATTAGCAGACTAAGTATTTGATTATTTAATTAAAATACACTGGTTCTCTAAACCCTGGGAGAAGGCCTAGAAGTGCCAGCTGCCTTCCTTCGCCTGCCCTCTGGTGGCAGTGTTGAGAAGTGCACTCATCTCTGAAAGGAGCTTGGAGGCAGCGAGCCAAACCCTCCTCCAGGGCTCTCACAGTTGTGTGAGTTTTTTTCCCCCTCTCTGTGCATGAAATGAAGAAGAATTTTAAAAATAATGTGGCTTGGGTACAGCATCTACTGAAACTTATGCAAGGTTACATTGCAAATGATACGGATAAAGTTAACAATTAAGAACATTCAAGAAGGGCTCTGGGGTGTAGCTCAAGGTAGAGCCCTTGCTAGGTGCGTGACGTCCTTGGGCTCCAGCGCCAGCCCCACGAGCCGCAAGAAGACCCCCTTTCCCACTTCTGTCTGAGACACTTGCCCTTCAGCTGGGACAGCGCAGCAGAAACGCAGGACAGTTCCTGGAGCACCCAGCAGTGCCTGGCTGTGGGACTTGGAGAAGACTCAGGTTTTTCTCAACTGTATTTGAAAACTCATCCATAAAGGGTGCCATGAACAGAATCATCCAAAGGGGAAGCTTTCCATTTAAAGATTCCTTTTTTCTGCTCCAGAGATGGAACACAGGATCTTGTGCTTGCCGGGCAGGTACTTACGCCACTGAACTATATCCCTGGCCAAAGATTCATATTTTTAAAATACGTGAGTGGTGAAAACTTATACTGTAGAGCAAATAATTTTCATTTCCTTCAGCATTAATCATTATTGTCATTCAAGAGTTTGTGCGTTTATTTTCTTAGAGCAGAGATCAGGAAACTAATGTCATAGACCAAGTCCGCCCCAACCCCCCATTTTTTTAAGCTTAAAGACCCAGAAAAAGAGTCTATATTTTGAAATCATTGAAAAATCAAAAGAAGACTATCACCTATGGAAATTATATAAAGTTCAAATATCAACGTGCATAAATAACATTTTACTGGCAGACAGCAGTGCCCACTAATCTACATGTGGTCTGTAACTGGTTTTGTGCCACAGGAGCAGAATTCAGCTATCATGAGTGTGAGAAAAGCCAACACTGACTTCTAAAATACTTTTTTTATGTTTTACATACAGCTTTACCTGAAAAACTTCCAATTCAAGAATGCAAAAACTTCAGATTTTTGGAAATCATTGGAAGAGGTAAGGAAGTGTGTGTGTCTCTGAAGATTTCTTTGATTCTTTCTTCTTTATATGGCTATTCTTTTATTTGCCTTTATTTGTAAATGAACTAATGTCCCTATATCTTTTAAAACCAGGCCAGTAACCTGCCCATAACGGAAGTGATGGACACCTGGACCTCCCAGATGGGCTACCCCGTGCTGATCGTCGATAACCAAAGGGTCCTCACCCAGAAGCGCTTCCTGCTGGACTCCAGGGCAGACCCATCCCAGCCGCCCTCGGCTCTTGGGTAAGGCTCCCTAACTCCTTTTGAAAGAAAAGCAGAAATGTGGAAACACCGGTCATTTGCTTAGAACCTGCTCTCAAGAACATGACTGAAGTGTGCGGACATAGAGACTTGTGACTTTAAGGCAGCCATGCGGCCCCCAATAGCTGAGTGGTCCCCAGGTTCACCGCGGTGGGCTGTGTGCCTGCCTCTGTGTCTCATCCTCATGGACAGCTCTGGACACGGGGATGAAAGCACTAAAGGAATGAAGTGGCTGGGGAATTCAGGAAGCAAGGCGGGGAAGTGACAGGCACGGGCTGAGGAAGGTGTGGCCTCATGGTAGACGGAAGCCTCCCTGTCCTCTGTTCCGGCCAGGTTCTGAGCTCAGTGGCAGCATGAAGAATGGAAGCCAGGAGGGAGAAGGGTGCTGGCCATAGGGTGGCTAAAGTGAGCTCTAGACGCAGGACGCAAGTGCCCCCGGACTTTCTCCGCACCTGCTGCCAGTCCCCTCTCCATGCAGACTCCCAGGAGGCCAATAGTGACCCCAGGCAGAAGCCCGGAGGACTTGTTTCCTGGTGCTGGGTTAACGGCAGAGGGGAGCTCAGGGTTGCTATCCAGCCTTTCACAGTGAAGCCGCCTCAATGGACTGGGGCTCCTGGTCACTGCTGGCCAATGGAGAGGCTGCTCCACACTCTCTAGTAGTAGAGAGATCAAGAAAAATCAACTTAGGATCTTTTCAGCATTGAAGATGGAGTTTAGGGCCTTCTCACTAGGCTACACCCCCAGCCCCTTCATTTCTTCTTTTGAGACAGGGTCTCGCTATGTCACTAAATTGCCCAAATTGTAAATTGGACTTACATTTACAATCTTCCTGCTTCGGCCTCCCAGGGTACTAGGATTACAGGTGTGCACTACCACACTCAGCAAATTTTTTTCTTTAATATGAGTGGACCATCAATAATCACAGGATACAGGAAAAATAGATAAGCCCAAAAAATCTCACACGAATAAACAAAATTTAAAAACTGACTGTAAGATACATAACAGAGGAAACAAAATAAACCTCTGGAATTACTCAGAGATCAGAGAATAAGACAGCATAGCGGCACCTCAGCTCACAAACTTAATTCCCACCACTAAAAAAGATGCCTGGTACCCACAGTTTAAAGGGGAAGAGATTAATTGTAGTTCACAGTTTCAGGCTGCAGTTGGCTGACCCCAAGGCAGAAGCAGCTCGGCCGAGGGGCCTGGCGGTAGAGAAAGCTGCTTACCCAACGGCGACCAAAAGCAGAGAGGAAATGGGGGAGACAGAGCCTCCCAGGCCAGGCCCCAGGGACCGCCCCACTGACGAGGCCCCGCCTCCTAGCAGCATGTTCCACGATGTTCCCATGAGTGGATATATGCAAAGATGAGCATGGCACACGTGATCCAGTTACTTTCCACAGGAGACTTTTGGGGGACATTTTAGATCTAAACCATGACGCTGGGCATTGATCAGTTTCACTCATGCCCATTTTTATGGTCCCCTCTTTCAACCTTGGACCCTTTACCTACCTTGGGAAGAGACAACTTTTATGCTCTCACCGAGTCTCCCTGTCTCCACTGTCTGATTCTAGCTGAAGAGGCGCTTGGTCCTCTGTATCTCTTTCTCCGTGGTCTCATGGACATTATTTCATAATCATATATGAAAATCACCTTGTCAGTGAGTAACAATTGGAATCACATCAGAAAGGAGAATTTTCAGGTGTGCGGAAATGTATATTGGTGTACTGGACAATGTTTAATGACTATAAATCAATTCCTTTATAGTTACTGTTTTATATTCTTGCACAATAGCTTGGCCAATTTCAGGACTGTACAAGCCTTTAGACATTAAAATCCTAAATTGCTCTCTGTCTTGTGAAGCAAGCTTCCATCTGGACAGTGGCTCAGTAATCACTGTCTCCTGTCACGTGGGTTCCCCACTGGGGCACAGAAGATGTGCTGTCTCCAGGGTGCAATATTTGAGGTGAATACATTCACAGGTGTGAGGCTGAATGTCCCTGTGGGGTATTCAGACAGGAGCTGTAGTGTCCACGAAGGCCACAGCCTTCCACAGGAGCCCTGCCTTGTGGTGTAAGACTCGGTACTTACCGAGCACTGGCTGAGTGGCCCTTGCAGTTTGAGGCATGGTAGGTGTATCTTATCTTACAGGGAGGCAGAGAGTGATGAAGGAACTTGTTCAAGGTCACCTAGAGAGTCACTCGTAAAGCCGGCTGGACAGCACTGAGCTGCTGGACAGGGGTGAGACATGAAGGTGTAAGGTAGCGGGGCCAAGTGTGCAAAGCATGGACTGGACAGCGGTGTGCATGTTCATGGATTTCCGGAGAACTGTCACGGTTCCCCGTGCCGCAGTGCAATGGACAGATCAGGAATTTGTGTGGATGCCAGTTATCGCAGGGAGCAACTCTGGCAGAGGGGCTGGAGGTGACGCGCAGACCAGGAGGGCGGCCAGGCCATAGCAGGCGGCTGATGGTCCAAAGAGTTAGGTGGAGCTGAGTTTTTCTAACGAAAAAACTAAGCAACTTACAAGAGATGCAATCAGATGAATTTGCAAGAACAATTTCCTTTTGGACTTCTGTGTCCATTCTGGAGGTCGGTGCTCAGAGCATTTTCTAGAGAAGGCAGGAAGGACCTGCAAAGACTCTTTAGGGTGCTGTTCAGGTGTTAGCCGGTGACAGGGTTGACTTCCTGCTTGCAGCCACGGCGGAGGGAATGAAGCCATCCTAATGTCACACTAGGAAGTTCCCCAGAATTACAATCACCAAAGCGCTTGACTCTGAGGCATCAGAGCAAGTGAGGAGCACCCAGAGTTACAAAGCCAGCTGCTTCCAAGATGCTGGGACCCTGAGCCAGAAGAGCGGGGAGAAGGCCACTGTGCACCTCGTTTCTGTGGCAGCCCGGGAAGGCCCAGGAAGGCTCCCTGCTTGACTCCAAAGCTCGGGGAGCCTGAGCCCCTTGCTCTAATGCAAGTCCCCAGATCGGGTGTTCCTACCAGAGCAAGGGAACCCCAGCATGCCGAAGGACACCGGGGAGGGCCTGTGTGTGCTCCTGCGCCGCCTCTCCCTCAGAAGGGAATGGCTGTGGTAGAGAACAGGGCTTTGCCTGTTGCTCTTTCCTCTTCCTGATGCTTGAACCAAATCGTAGCTCTGACTTGCTAGCAGGTTTCTGTTCACTTCCTAAGGTCAACATAGGTGTCCTCTGGAGCGTTGTGTTAATAACCTTAGCGGTTTCTTTTATAGCTACTGCTGTATGTTTCAGCGAAACAGACTGAGCTTGCTTAGCGCTGCTGGAATCTCCAGCCATAACAGGAAAAAGGGAAAAGATTCCCTCTGGCAAGTTGAGCTTCCCTGTAACTGCCTGGCCTTGTGTGATGAACCCAGGGTTGGTGAAACCCGCATGATTTTATCACCAGATGAATTAGATACAGTATCAGCCATAAAGTCACTTTTTAAACAGCAAATCTTTAAATTCTAGTCACTAAGACCTAGGCAATGGGGCTGTATTAACAGTTACACTTTTTTTTCTAATATTTGTCATCTTCTGCCCCCATATAATAGAGTTTTTATTTTATTTACATTCATAAAAGCATGATCTTAGTGATAATTTATCATAAAGTCAATATACTCACCCCAATTTTGTAAAGATAAAAGTTTCATGTGAATCAGAGAAGAAATTTTTAAAAATAGGTTCGTTCTTCCCTATTTAGAGCGTTTGTTAAAAAATCAGTAGTAGCTGCTGAATGAAGAAGAAAGAGGTATTATAGCAAAAGTGAGCCCTCCTTATTTTTCATTTTATTTAAAAATCTAAATCACAGTAGATGCCTCCATGTACCCAGAAAAAAATGACTCTTCCGCGTTCTAAGGTTTGAAGTCTCTCTGTTCATATATATTCCATGTAGTCGGCAGTGTGACCATTAGGTTATGCTATGGGGCCCACTAGGAGTGTCTCACTGTTTAATCAGAGATTAGAAATACTTACGCAACAGAACCATAATTAAAAGACCCGGCCAGGAGTAAAGTATTGGAATACTACAGCCTCAGCCGTCTCATGGATGCACCTCTCTCCTCCCATCTCTGTTCAAGGACTTTCTTTCTTTCTCTTCCTTGCTTCCTTCCTTCCCTTCTTCCTTCCTTCCTTTCCTTCTTCTTTCTGTGTGTGGTACAAGGAATTAAACCCAAGGCCTCTTATATGCTTCGCAAGCACTGTAACACTGGGCTCCACCCCTTGCCCAAGGGATTTCTTTTTTTTTTTTAATTTTATTTTAAAGAGGGTAAAATTAAACATAACAAAACAGATCATAAGGAAAGAATATAAAAGACACAGATTTCAAAGCAAGACAATAGGCGATCATCACTGGCTATCGTACTTTCTCTCTTGTTTTCTTCCAAATAGTTGTCCACATCTTCACATACAATGAATTCATACAAAACAAGATGATATAAAACTGATCAGAACAGTATGATGAAGGCGTTTTAGGTCTTTAAGACCAGACAATAGGGAAGTCAACAATGGCTGCCATAATGTCCCTCATTCTCTTCAAAATAGCTGTGCATATCTTAATGTATGTTGAAATTAAAACAAAACAGATTAAAATCACTCTGAACAAAGAATAATAGTATTTCACATCATGACGCTATGGAATCAGCACTGGGTACCTTAGTGTCTCTTTTTCTTCAAAGTAGCTGTTCATTTCATCATGCATTGTATAATGGATTCTCATAAACTGTTTAGAAGTTCTACACATGCATGAGTCTCTACATATGTACCTATTCTTTCTATATAGAGGGAAAACAAAACAAATTCTTAGAAAAACACAAAACAAAAAAGACATATAAACAACAATAGCAAAGAGCCCAGAGACAATATAGGCCTTCAAAACAAGGTGGCAGGAGCATAGCTAGGGTTGTTATTTTACATAGTGATCTTCAAGAGCTCCTCAGATCACCTTACAATAATATGCACAATTGCTACAATCTTATGAATGTTAACTATTTTGTTCCAAGAACTTATAGAGTTTGTAGCACAATCATCTTAGCTATCTTAAGTGTGTTTATATAATTTTAGATGGTTTTTCTTTTTCCTTCCCTTCCTCATTTTCCCTGAAATATTATTTTTCCCCTTTAAGCAGTTTCTTATCCTTTCACTGTGTTTATTGAGTTTTTTGTATCTTATGTACTCTTACCGTTTCTTACAGTAGGGAGACTATACGGTATTTCCCGTTGAGTCTGATTTATTTCACTTATGAATATGGTCTCAAGTTGCATCCATTTGTTTATCAATATCTCAATGTGATCATTCTTTATAGCTGAGTAGCACTCCATTGTATAAAAATACCACATCTTTTTTATCCCTTCCTCAGTTGATGGGCATTTAGGTTGTTTCCAAGATCTGGCTATTACAAATTGTGCTGGCTATTTGCAAATGGGTGCACATATATCACTGTGGTATGATGTTTTCAGTTGTTTTGGAAATATGCCTAGAAGTGGAATAGCTGAGTTAAATGGGATCTACAATCCCAGCTTTTGGAGGAATCTCCAGACTGACCTCCACAAAGATTGCACCAGTCTACACTCCCACCAACAGTGCAGGGGAGTTCCTGTTTCCCCACAGCCTCTCCAGCATTTGTTGTTGATGGTTTTCTTTATCCTGCCCATTCTTTCTGGAGTGAGATGGAATCTCAGTGCTGTTTTAATTTGCATTTCTCTAATGAGTAATGATGATAAACATTTTTCATGCATTTATTTGCCATTTGTATTTCTTCATCTGAGAACTGTGTATTCATCTCAGATGCCCATTTTTAGAATGTATCTTTGAATTTTGGGTGTCTGATTTTTTTTAATTCTTCCTAAGTTCTAGACAAAAGTCCTTTGCCTGAGGGACAGGTGAGTAAGATTTTTTCAAAACTCATGGGTTTCCTTTTTACTCTGTTGAAGATTTCTTTCGACATGCAAAACATTTTTAATAAGATGTAATCCCAGTTATTGATTCTGGGAAGTTTTTCCCATGCAGTTTGATTTTTGTTCGTGAATTCTCTACCTACTCCTATGTCTTCAAGATTTCTACCTACTTTGTCTTCCAGCAGATTTAATGTTTCTGTTTTAATATTTAGATCTTTAATCCATTTTGACTTTAGTTTAGTACATGGTGATACACATGGGTCTAGTTTTAGTTTTCGGCATATGAAGAGCCAATTTTTCCAGCACCGCTTATTAAAGAGACTATCTTTCTTCCAGTGGACATGTTTGGCCCCTTTATCAAAGATAAGGTGGCTGAGTGTGTTTGTAGTTGTAGTTGTATCTTCTAATCTATTCCATTGATCTTCAGGTCTGTTTTTATTCCAGTACCATGCTGATTTTATTACAGTAGCTTTGTAGTATAACTTCAAGACAGAGATTGTGATGCCTCTTGCCTTGCGTTTGTTGCTTAGAATTGCCCTGGGATTTCTTTGTCTGGCCAGTTTTCAAGGCTTTGACAGACCATCCGTCTGAGTACCCTGAGACTATAGGTGCCGTACTAGGGCAGTTAAAATCAGTTTCCTTTGGAGAAAATTAGATCAGTCATATCTATTATGAATGGAATCTACTATATACCGAGAGCACTATCTTTAAAAGATGAATTCTGATCCTCTTGGATTTTAGATAGCATAGAAAATACTCCATCCTTTCATTTATGCAATTTTCATTTCTTAACATTTTACATCCCTAAGTCTATCATTTTACTTAGTTTAGATAAGATTGAATCGTATGATGCTAAAATTACAAAATTATGTATGCAACCTATCGCTTTTGTCTTATGATCTCTTAAAGACCTCAGGGCAGTATTTCTGTGCCTGCCTTTAGTAGTTCAGCTTCTAGCCACTTAGAAGCACGATGTGCATAGCCTTGGCCACCAAGTTGTAGCAGGGACGGCCGAGACCTGAAATCTCAACTGTGCGTGTCGGTCTCTCCCAACTCTGTGGCTTCGATCGGGCCAGTCCTGGGGAAGATGAGGAAAAAGGCGATGTCGGTGTGCAATGAGGAGTGGGGTTTGGAGAGGGGGAGGAGGTGAGAGAAAACAGAACGTTGTGTACACGTACAACTCCCAAAAAGAACGAAGTAATCGTGCCCTGCAAACCTGTACCAGTACAAATTAAAATTTAGAATAACTGCTTCGTGTCTCAAAAGGGGTCACAAGGCCCTTGTGATGGTTGCTCTGAATGCAGAGCCGGAGGCAGCCCCAGCCGTGGACGCGACTCCTTTGCCAGGTTTCCAGGGTGATGGGTGCAGCCTTGCAGGTGCTGGGGGGCAGCGAGCTCAGGACCACTGGGAACCTCAAGCCGGGGTGGGGGGGTTCATAGCGTGCCCAAAATCTATCATTTTACTCAGTTTAGATAAGATTGAATCCCATGATGCTAAAATTGCATGATGCAAGGAAGGTTCACGTAACCCCCGGTCATCGGTCATCATGGACAGCAGTGGCCTGAGATCTCGACCAGGGGCTGGTGCTGTCAGGAGGGTGAATCAGTACTCGGGCACGGGAGGACGATGGAGACACAGAGATGCAGGTGACACACCCACAGTGTCCATGACGGGTCCCAAGAAAATAATCTCCATACTGCTTTATGAAACTCGTACCCCAAAACCTCCCCCTGCAGTAAAACTCCAAAGGATATACTAAAAAAATCCTGCAAAACCCTGCCACAGTTACAAAACAAAGAATTCTTTCTTTTATGTAGATAGCAAAAATATTTTCTCCTTGAGTGACATAAATATTATTATTTGTTAAAAAGAAGCAATGCCGACCTCATTTTCTGCTAGAGAACTGAATGCCAGCAGGCGAGCCAGTGTGGGTGGAAATTCAGGCCGGTGGTTGGCTGCTCCGCATGCCTGTACCAGCCCTGAGATGATGTCAGGACAAACCATCACGAAGATACTTGCGGTCTCTTTTTTGAGTTTTCAAGAGTACTAAGTAGCCAAAAAAAGCAACTAGAACCCCCAGAACATGCTTCTGTTACATTTCCTTCCCTGATATGTTTTGAGGAGCCTAGGAGGGGTTTGGGGAAAAGTAGTGCTGATGTAATTTCTCTTGTGTTTCCCTTGTGCAGAATTTTACAGATTCCATTTTGAATTCTAACAAAGTTTTGTGTTCCTTGGCAAACTATAGCGTACTAAGCATTTAAACAAGTATGCATGCATATTAATGTTCAATATTATATTGTGTTGTATTTATGCAGTTCATGCAGTATATTTCAAAGCCTCAAGAATAATTTTCCCCAGCCTTAGTTATTTTTTGATGCAAGTTTCTGTCTTTTAGGATTTATAGAAATTGAAAGCAGTTACATGGGCTATTTTCAACACTAAAGTTATTATGTTAACTGTTTAGTTGCATACTGCACATGGGGCCATTAGTTATAATGAAAATATACTTGTCTATTTTTTTATTTTTTAATTTGTGTCTTTTGATAATATGAGTTAAATTTTTCTTTTTTTAAAAATTTTAGTTACACATGGAATATTCCAGTTAAATGGACCGAAAATAATGTATCAAGTACTGTAGTCTACAATAGGTCAGAGAAAGAAGGTAAATATCAATTGATTTATTTCTTCTTTGAATTGATGTAGTACATTAAATTACTGTAAGCATAAAAATCAATAATAAAATTGGAAATTACGTAAATTCCAGCTAAAAGAGATTTCTTAAATAATCTATCAGTGATTCAAAATCTTTACCTACAATAAGAACTGTTCTACCTTGAGATATTCTTTTTACAAGTTATCGTGACTGATACAATAATACCCACAACCAAGGATAGGGTACGTGCCCAGCAATGGAAAGCTGAAGTGTGAACTAATTTCCTGTTTTCCTTCTTTCTTTCCTGCTTTCCTTTCTCCCTCCCTGCCGCATCCTTTCTTCTTCCCTTTTTGTTCTTTCTATCAGATAAAGTGAGCCATTGAATTTCTTAAGATGTTGTATAAGGGGCCTTTTTTTTAATGCTCTGTTTTAGTACAGCCATTTTTTGGAAATACGTTTCTGCGTTCTCTTTCCGTTGGTTTGTCCTTTCCTTACCTGGAAAATTTTATATAAAAGCAAGGAGATGTTATGCAGACCTTCAAATCATTGGGAAATAGTAAATAAGGCAGGTTTTAGCCCCAGTCCCTGAAGATTCTTGTTTTTCTCACTTTTGCCATTGTATTTGTTTTGTGTTTCAGTCAGTTTTAGAGCACTTTCATCACCTAAGGAAAAAGCTCACACCTCCTCCCCTAAGCAGCCACTAATCTATTTATGACTACACAGATTTACCTATTCTAAACAATCGCGTATAAATGAAGTGATGTATGCAACATTCTCTGCCTTTTCAAATTAATGTTAACAGGGTTTACCCATGTTGTAGTCTGTATGACTACTTGATTCCTTTTTATGACCAAATTATAGCCTGTTGTACACATGGGCTGCCTTTCCTTACCCAGTATGAGCTGAACCGTTTCTACCCTTCATCTTTCACGATAACGCTGCTATAATCATTTGTGAACAAGTTTTTCGGTAGCTCTAGTAGGTTCTCTGCTCCTGCTTTTTCATTTTGCTTGTTTCTAACTCTCTATCGGAAACTCTCGAGATTGTGGTTTCACTAAGAACTCTGCCACCTTTGATTTTACGGCAGCAAGGCTCCTCCGTCTAGGGGCCTCCCAAAAAGAGATCACTCCTGCAACAGCGGTCTCCCTTCGTCATTTATGCCTGCAATTACGATAGCACTGTGGTCAGCTGCTCTGAATGTTTCCAGAAATCCCAGATAATGCCATTTGTCTTGGTACGTTCATACCTTTAGTTTGTGTGTGGGTACCAAGTTCTAGCTCTTGCGGTCTATCCTCCACCCATTTTCTTACTCATAAGCACATTTTCAAAGGAGAATGGAGAAGGGAGAAAACAGACACTTAAAAGTGTGTGACAGCACTGGGAAAAGGCACAGCGAGAGGGTTAGGAGTTCACCGGGCTGTTTTCAGCAGATTTGGTGTAAACTATTGATGTGCATTTCCCCCATTCCTCGCCACGATGAACTGAAGGTTGGAAAAATGTCTTCACAGCAGCTTGATTTGCTGCTTACAAATTTTAACGCATGAGCAATTTATCAACCCTAACACAATTTATCCAACATTTTCATAGAATGAGGATAAACTTTTGGGGTTTATTTTATTTTATTTTATTTTATTTTTTGCAGTACCAGGGATGAACTCACGACCTCACACTTGCCAGGCAGGTGCTTATGCCACTGAACTAAATCCCCAGCCCTAGCATAAACTTATCCAACTGAATTTACCAGATAACCAAGCCTTCCTTTGTAAATTAATTTGGAAAATAAATTTCAAAAGTTAGAATAAGCTTTTGTTTCACATTTTGTGTATACTTACTAGATAGAATATTTGGAATGCTGAATTTAGTTCTCAACCAGTTAGTTAATTCGGCACTTGGGGTGGGGGGCAGAGGGTGGAGGCAGGATGATGGCAAATTCAGGGCCAGAGTAGGAAAAGTGGCAATTGAAAATAAAACAAAGGGGCTGGGGATTTAGCTCAGTGGCATAAGCACCTGCCTTGCAAGCAGGCGGTCTTGAGTGCGATCCCCAGAACCAATTTAAAAAAAATAAATTAAAAAAAAAAAAGAAGAGAAAATGAAACAAACAAAGCAGGTATTTATTAAAATTAGCGTACAAACCAGACGCGGACTGCGGGGTGGGTGTGGAGATGATGCCCGGGCAGGGAAGCACGGGCCTCCTGGCGTAGATGCTGGTGCAGGTTTCAGAGAGGTACAGTGTGGTCCTGGACAGCCAGTGTGGCCACACAGGCAGTGAGGGGCACTGCAGGACAAGCGCCAGCCCAGACCAGGGGACAGGAAAGATTACTATCAAAAGAGGCACCTTGGCCAAGATTTTAGGTGCTGAACACAGAGTTCAGTGGGCAACAGGGTTGACCGAGTGTGGGGCACCTGTGCTGGGGACAGAAGGCTGGCGTGAGTATTGGGAGAGGGCCTCTCCTTTCTGTCCCTCTGGGCTGACACTGAGCATACTTTTGCCTCTAACTGCTGGCCTGTCTGTGTCTCTCCTCCCCATGGACATTCCTGCAGCACTGTGCTTGTTGGCTGTTGTCCTGGTCATTGTACATCTCCGGCAGGTGCCATCGGCAGGCACCTGATGCGTGTTTGTGGAGTGAGTGGATGCATGAGACAGTGAGTGAAAACACTCCCATGCTCACAGCGCTATGGTGACAAACCCACCTGTATTTGAAACTTCAGAACCATGACCGGTCACCTAGGCGGGAGCCAACTCCACATCGCTCCCTACTTCAAAGTGCCTACTCCATTTTTAGGCTATGCACTAAGTTCCTGTTTCCTGTGTGAGGACAGCTTCGGCTCCTCGCTCAGAGCTCAGATGACGAGCTGCATGGGTGCTCAGCTCCTGTTACCCGCCCTCCCTGCCTCCGCCTCCTGGCTTCTCTGATGATTCACCAGTTAGAGATTCCCCAGGCCCTAGTGGGACTTCCCCCAAGCTCTCTCACTTACAGTCACATAGTATATGATCTATTAAACATTAGGGGAAAAAAATGAAACTTCTAATTTTCAACAAGTAAAGAGAACATCTATCACAAAACGCTTTCAGGCTATTCCAACCTGTCCAAAACAAACAAAAAACAAATGAAAGCTCTCATTTTCTTAAATATTAGCTGGATCCCATTTTGAAAGCATTTATTCTTATCGAAATCACTACACATTTTCTTATTATTATTGCTACTAGTCTTCATTGGGATTTTACTACAAAAGAGTCATTAGAAATCCTTTTTTCTATAGTATATTTCATATTAGCATCATTGGTCCATATTCCTGGTACTTTAAACAAAACAGTAGTAACTAAAAGTGCTTTGCTCTCTCTTTTTTCAAATACATTGTAAGCTCCTTGAAGACACAGCTGCACACCCTATTTCTTGGTCCCTGTCTATGTAATAACAAGGTTCTTTGGGCATGGGAGGAGTCTGATCCGTCCTTGTTTAACTGAAGGTCATCACAATCTACCATGTTTTTAGAGATCACCTGGGTACATTTTTAGTTATGTCTCTATCTTTAGTATCAGCTATTCTCTTGGCTGTCAATGCATCTACATTTAGTATTATCTTATGATTTTGATTTTAATTTGCTATTCTCTAACAATCAGTGTGATTGTTTAAGTAAACAATCTTGCTAAAATGGTATTTTCAAACAGGTCTTCCTGAGAGATAGGATCTGAGAAAGGGTCTAAGTCCTCAACGAAGTAATGGCTTTGGGGTGACTCCTTTTCTTCCTGCTAGATGTGAAGCTACCCTCTGGAGACTTGAGATAACCAAATTCTTAACTATCATAGAAGTGAGATTTGCTAAAAACGTGTAACAGTTATATTTAAAGGTGTAGTCCCAAAATAATGATGAGCGTATGTTTTCATATATAATGACAACAGGGAAGAACTTCTTTCATTGTTTTCAAACTGAGCCATACAAAGTGTGCAAACTTGGGGTGATTATGTATTCAGTTTTGCCAATTTAGAAGCTCAGTTCATCAGTTCAACTCTGGTCAACCCCAAGTCTTGGAAGATTTATTCACCTAAACCAAACATACAAGAGATTAACCAAGAATGCTAATTTGTTAATTTAACAGATAAAATACACTGGCCTAGTGAACCAGCAAACTCATGTCAGCTAATTAGGTATCTCTTCCCAGGAAGAAAGTTTACTTACTAGGGATTAGAGGAGAGTTAAGGTAGATCGATTATTTTAAAGATGTCATCAAGCCGTGATAGCCAGCTCTACTGCATTAGCCAAATGGGTCTAATGATTGCATTCAGAAGCTATCGATGGCAGCCTGATGCCATAAAAGTTCCTTGTTTGTGCAGTGGTTCCTGTAGTTCTGCCACCAACTGTGTGGCTTCTCTTGCTGGGTCTTTTGTCTCTGGGCAGAGGAGGACCTGCCTGGTAGTGCATCTGTGACTTCTGTCTGGGTTTTGTGACCAGTTCTCGATTGAGTGCTCCTGCCTACTGTACACAGCCCCGCTCTGCACGGGCAGCAAAGGGTGCCCATCTCTGCTGGGCACCTTGTTGGTGGGGCCAAACCTGTCAAATTCCTGGAGCACTTTGTGAGCTCTAAGCTGTGTTGGGTACTGGCTTTCCTAGGTTGTCAGAGACGCATGGACAGATCTTCACTATGCAAACCTCCTTTGCTGTTATTTTTCCCAACAGCCACAAGCACCACTGCTGATGACACTCCCTCTCTCCAAAGGGAGGGTTCATTGCAATGTTATATGCTTGAACAATTTTCTTTTCAGGCAGATACTTTAGACTGGGTCCTGGAATTTGGGGGCAATCTTATAACTATGACTACTATGATCATGAATGCTTTCCTGAATGGACGACTTACTGAAAATGTTCTCAGGTGGATAACCAGCCCATTTATGATGGGTCATGTCAGCCTTAGTTTCATGGTAACTCCAAATATGATTGCATACTTGAAAGTTTTAGCTCTTAAGATGTACTTTGCATATCGTTAGTCCCTTTCAACTCTTTTACATAAAATTTAAAGGATGTAAACTCTATCATTTTACACAGAAAATAATTTGCTTAAAAGAGTAGTACCACACAGCCTTTAGAACCAAAAAAAAATGTTCCCTTATCTAGAACTCTCATGGTATTACAAGTTATTTGTCTATGGTTTGTTATAATTATGTATATAAAGTAACAGCAATTGTCAGGTATGCTTTTTTTTTTTGAAAGGGTAATCATGTTTTCTCTACCATTTAGACCAATAATAAAAATGGAAAAATGAGAATTTCTTTAAAAGGTCCATACCCAGAAAAAATTCACTCAACACTTTGATACACAGAACTAGTATGAAACGGAGCAAAACAATTTATAAGATAAACAGAATATTATGTAGCCATTATACTTACACTTTCATGTATGCAAATGCATTTGTAGACTATTAACAATGTAATTTCAAATGAAAAAAGATAACTGATCATAAGAAAGTAGGATCCAATAAGCTATGCTCTGTGTCTGCATGGAAGATGTGTGTACATGAAAAAACATGTTAATAGGCTGTAATTTTGATATTTTTCTGTATTTTCCAAGTGTTCTATAAAGAACACGTAGTATTGCCATAATCAGAAAAAAAACTAAAAGCAAACATATACCTAGAAAAGGCATCATTATTTCAGGCCTGCTTACTCTTATGTAACGAAGCACCGAAGGGAATTTTGCTGTTGACAACTGTCCCAAAAGTAGTATGAACTTGGAAACTCCTTAACTACGGACTTCCTGAATCTCAGCTTCCTCATGCATAAAGTGAGAAAAATCACAGTAACTCTAGAAAGGCTTAACTGAGTACATATAAAGCACACTAAAATACTGCAGTATTTAGATGGATTGCCAGGAACTTCTCAATGTTATTTATATTTGCCTCGCTATTTATAGAACTGGCAGCATATCCCCTTTCGTAATAACGAGAACAGCGACCATCTGTTGCGCACACAAGACATAGCGATGTGACCAACACTTTGCCGATGTTATCGTATTTAATCTTCGCAACAGCTCAGAGAGGGATTTTTATCCATATTTTCCTCCTGGTGAACTGGCACACAGAGGGGTCAAGTGATCTGGCCAAGGTTACACAGATAGTAAGTCACAGAGAAAGGGTTTTATCCCTGGTCTGTCGGGCTCAAAAGTTCAGGCTCTTTCTTCTGTAACATATGCTTTATGCCTAGCAAAGAGATCCTCCTCCTGAAACAAACATTCAAAGGGTAAGGTTGCCAAAAGATTAGCTTCCTTTCAACAGCTTGTCCATGGGAGAATGACAAAGAAAGATTAATACCACATGAGTGAGGTAACGGTTTATAATTTGTCAAGTACCTACTCTGGAAGGTCCTACAGAAACTTATTGTCTTATTGAAGAGCTTATTCATATATCACGAAAAACTACTGTGTCCTGGACATCTTCCAGGCCTTGCAAATGCCTCCAAAATTTAAATCATCTTTCCTCCCTAGCTGACCTGCCTTCCTCTGTGCTCTAATGGCAACACCATCGTTCACCCAATCACACTCCTCTGTGCTCTAATGGCAACACCATCATTCACCCAATCACGCAAGCTCTCTTCCTTTCCTTTGATTGTCGACATCAAGTCAGAAAAAGTGTTGTGTAATGTGCATTTTGAATATATCACCTTCTTCCTGTTTTCATCATCTCCATATTAGAGTAAGCCCTTATCCTGTTTTGCCCTGGACCAGTGATGGCAAACCTTTTAGAGACGAGTGCCCAAACTACAACCCAAAACCCACTTACTTATCACAGAGCACCAGCACTACAGTTAAACCTGGATACTGAGGTTTTAGTTAGAAAAAAAACCCTCATCCATGAGCATCTTTTGACTTCAAAAGAAAAACAAATAGCACACATACCATGGATTTGCCATATTTCACCTAGTCTATTGTAGTGGATTCTCAGTCTTCTTGTCTCTAGAATCGCCTCTAAAATGTCTCTCATATCGGCCTCAAAATAAATGTTTCCCATATTCCTAGCAAACAGACCTAAAAATGTTACTTCCTTGCTTAAAAATCTCCTCTTCTTCCCACCTTTTAGAAGATGGGTTCTTTAACATGGTCTGTGAGTCTTCACATGGAAACTTTAGCCTTGCTCATTTTTGTCAAGTACCTATGAGCCTGACCTCATTTTGTGTTTTCTAGGATCGTTGTCTACATTGGCATTATATTCAACTATTTGAAATTCTTCAAATGTCCTGTTTCCAAAATCTTATTTACACTGTATATTTTCTATGCTCATCAAAACCATGTGAATGGAGAATATAGGTGTAATGCTAATGCTGGTCTTGTCCCAGCGTAGCTATTTTTAAGTGTGACATGTTTGACCTAAAGCATCCGTCTCTGTTCCTTCAAGGTTAGACTTCTAAAATCTGTATACTAGAACCCTGTGTAAAGATTAGATGCTACTTTACAAAGAAAGTTAACTTGGTAAATCCATTGATTTAAAAGAAAGAAACACCATTGTTGTAGTCCACTGAAATGAGGACGTAGGAGATCTGACAAAGGTAAATAAAATGAGAAGTGCGAGCGTGGAACAGATCACACAATCGAGAATGCTGCACTGGGGTTTTAATTGTGTTGCAGGCCTTCTTGACATGTTAAAGGCGATGTTATTCTGCTTGGCAAAAGTAAGCAGCTTCAATGCCCATCAGCTTCAGTGGTCAGTGTTAATTAGCACAGCACTGTTTTGAGTGTGTACATTTTATCCCCTCCCAGGCTGCCCGGTGAATATTCTTCACGTCATCAACCCATTATGATCAGGAATATATGGGTCACTCCCAGAAGGCCTGGACCCTCTGTCATTAGGCATTGTTTCCCTTTACTGAAGGACTGGCCAGCACAAAATTATTCCACCCACTTGCCAAGCTTCTGCTAGTAAGAGATGGAAGTCACAAAGGACAGGATTCCTACTGACTATTTCTTTTTCAGCTTCTCCAGTAACGTTCTAAAGTTAGGCAATTAAGTAAGAATTAGACTCTGGGGCTTTGGAGTCTAATCAAATTTGACTCCTTGGGCCATTATTTCTTTCCTTTTTATGCCCACTGGGTCTAATTTCTCTGTGTGTACAGTATATGCAAACATGTTTCTCATTAGTGTTTATTTACTCCCACAGGAATCATTTTGACATCTTCTGAATCTACGACAAGTCACTTTGTCAAAATAAACCCAGATCACATTGGATTTTATCGTGTACGTTATGAAGAATCAACTTGGAAACAGATAGCTTCTGAGCTTGTGTCAAACCCAGAGGTACGAGACAGCAGTGGTTGTGAACTGTTTTGTTTAATTGTTTTGTTTTGTTTTGTTTGAGAAATGTTTAGGAACATTTTAGTGAAATGTTCAATTGTGTGACTGTTTTGTCTTATTTGTGGAATGTTTCAGAACATTTCAATTTTTGAAGCACACTTTGAGAATCACACTTTACTTTCTCCTCTCTTTCAGAACTTTGCTTCTGCTGACCGTGCAAGTTTTATTGATGATGCTTTTGCCCTGGCAAGGTAAGTTTTATAATAATGTTAGATTACTTAAAATGCCATGGGTTTTTACATAATTTCTTGAATAAATTACAACATTTAGGTGTTAATCAATTTAGCCTAAAATACAAAAAAAATCAAAACATTGTTTTAATGTTTTAAACATTATTCTTCTTGACACCTTTTTAAAATGTGTCCAACGCACCAAGATTAGCACTTTTTTGTTGGTCTTTTTGAGACAGGGTCTCCCTATGTAGTTCAGGCTGATCTTGAGCTCACTTTGTAGCCCAGGCTGGCCTCAAACTCACAGCAGTCCTCCTGCCTCAGTCTCCCAAGTGCTGGGATTACCGGCATGTGCCATCCCACCCAGTTTGAGATTAGCTCTTAACATACAAAAACCTACCTACCCTATTGGCATTGAGTGTGGTTTGTGCTATAGCAGAGTCCTGGAGCTAATTAGGAGTGATATTTGTAAGCACTCAAAGGTGCGCTTCATAATTTGATTTAATAAAAGGACAAACCGTGCGTTTCCTAAATTTAGTTTTGTGAACCCAAGCTCTCCATGGGATCTGAATGCTGGAATCATCAGACCTTGTCCTGGTCTTGGGCCAGGAAGAAGCAGCCCTGCAGGGTGCCACCAAGGCATCTTTTTCCTCCATGACCTGAGGGGCCTGTGCTTGGGTAACCAGCATGGGTGGGGGCGTGGCAGAGTGGTAACCCCAGCACCTCTGCACGCGCCTCCTCAGGTCATCGGCATCCGTCATTCAACAAGTGTTCCGGACTTTGCAGGAGCTGGAGACGCAGCTGACTTGATTTCTCTGAGCCCATTTGTTGTGACCTCATTCTAAACCTGAGCAAGACACTGAGGAGGAGATGCCACTTGCTTAGGTACCTGCTCTGCTCCTTTGTCAGGGGCGGGTGCCCTCTTGAGGCTGTCTTTCCCCGCAGTGTTGCACTGGCACCGCCCGCTCTCTGTGACCTGTGAGACCATCCTGTGAGGCCGACGCCCGTGCCCCCCTCTCAGCTGCAGCTGCTGTGTTACCAACCAAATAGATGGCATTGGGCTAGTGGGTCCCAGGAGGTACAGGAGGGTTTCCCACGTGGACTTCTGGATGGCATGTTGGAATTCAGAAAGGCTTTTTGACATTTTTCAGGGATAGAACTGCAGGGTTTAAAAGCAGGTGTTGGCACCCAATGAAAATTCTGGTGGCACACAAATTCCTTAATCTCAGTTTCCTTGTTTGTAAAATAAGGATGACCTCACAGGACTCTTGTGAGGTATAAATAGCAGACATAAAGCACCCCCCAAATTCTTTTGCTTGTAAAGGATGCTACATAATAAATTATAATAATTATATTATTTATTTCTAGCATCCTGGGAGACTGAGGCAGGGTGATCAAAGTTCAAACCCAGCATGAGCAACTTATCAACTAGGCACAATGCCCAATCAATCAGTCAATAAGGCTGGGAGCTGAGGCTGGAACTCAATGCAAATGACCTGGGTTTCATCCCTAGTAGTAACAAAGAAAAAAAAAACCCTACACATATATTAAATGTGTTTATGCAAATATATATGTATATTACTTGACAAAAATGCATCCAACATTGATTACTAGCAGCAGAAATACATTTAGAAAAACTCTGAATTTATAATCTAGGTTCCCTTCCTAGGTGGCATACACACTATGTATGATGCTTTTCAGTTAATCTTGAAATTTAGGCCTCACGTTTAATCTCCCAGATGTGTAATAGATTATTTGCATTACATTGCAATATGCCACTAGCTCATTTAATAAATATGTTTTAAGCATTTAATATATAACTAGGCACAGTGTACATCTTGGGAAATTAAGTGGTGAAGGAATATGATCACTAAATATTTTAAAACATAACAAAGTCACCTAGAATAACAAAACCACTTAGAATTTTTTCTGTAAAACTCTCTAGATGCATCACACACCAGGATCTTTGCCCAACACAACTTCTTGACTCTTCAATTAGTTACTGCTGATTTCCATCACAATGTGACCCACGCTCTAAAATGGGGTGGACACCTGCTAAACAGATTTCTCTCTCCCAGGAACTGAATGTACGATAAATAACTCACACTACTGCAAGACTTCCTTACATTTTTTTTAGCTCCTTGACCAGAACCTCATAAAACCTCTAAGACTTATGTAAAGGATGAAAGTGAAACAAATTTGAAAACCCAAATATAGGATCACACAACAGAGCTGGAAATACCTGAGTTGTCACCTGGCCTCGTTTCCTCCTGTAACATGCAAAGAAAACAGGATTCAGAGAAAACAGATGCCATCAGGGCTGGCCAGGGCTCTGCCTGGCCACTCAGAAACTGTGCGTTCAAAGCCTTAATGTGCATTAAGCAGACAAGTGTCTACGGTGGGGACAGAATGTCCACAGGTCTATGGAGCACTTCAAGCTCAGCCTGAAGAGCTAATACTCTTTTAGTATCTTTAGTGGAATATCTAGCTGGGCAAAGACTTGGTCAAGGCAAGGAATAAAAGTTCACCCTACCGTTCTGGTTCCCCAAGTCACCTCAGTGCTGTCATATGCCCAGTCAAGTAAAATCAGCGAAGCCTCTGACATCAAGCGGAGACCCCATGGGTCCCCAGTTGAGGTGACGCCATGCAGTGGAAGAGGGGCATGACTTCCTCTTCCTCTCCCTGTTTGGATTCCGCCTGCATCCCCTCTGCCGGGAGCCTCTGTTTCTCCAAAGTTAAGGCAAGAAGAGCATCAGAAAAGAAAGGGAGATCCTGAGGTGCTGCTGGCGTTTGTCTGCCTTCCCTCTCCTCTGAACTTTGTGCGCGTTTCTTGCTGGCTGTCCTCAAGGGATGTCTTCATCGGGTATTCGTCATCCATACTCATCCCTAAGAATCTTCCCTGCATGTTTCCCTTGAGAGAGCGAGCTAAGGGACACCTCTGACCCACTGTGCTCTGTGGAAGCATTTATGCGTGCTTTGCCCTGGCAGCGTTTGGAGGAATGCGCCTCTCTGCACACCATCACCTCTTCACCCAGAAGCACCAGGCACATGAGCTCATCCTTCCGATTTCTCAGAGCATCAGATGCGGGCCACAGTACCCTCAGGCGCCAGGATCACAGGAGCAGCCCTGCCAGCGGGCTCGTTGAACCCTCTCTGCCCAGGCTTGCTGTGAGGGCAGGGTCTCCCGCACCCTTCCTCCTCAGGAAAGCATTTGCCACTGTGCTGTGTTCACTCTGCCCTCAGACTCCCTGCCTCCTCTACAGGATGTCGGTGGCTTGAGGGTCACAAAGCTCTGTCCTTGACTATGCTGGTCCTCCTGTGATCTTGCATCTTAGTTTAGAGCAAGGCTCTTGGTCTTGGGACCTTACTCAAACCTCAATAGAACTTTTTCTCCCCACTTGTTACAACAGCTTAGTTTTGTTTTGTTTTGCTTTCCAATGGCCTGTAGTGTGCTCTATAGACCACCGTTTGCTGTAGATAGGAAAAGGAAGGGAAGCCCTGTGAGTGGGGGCAGAGGCCACTAGGTGAGGGGAAAATGACAGAGGAGAGGACATGGGAGACCACTTAAATTAATGATCCAAGCAGAATTGTGGTTTCTAACAATGCTGGCTCCAAAGATAACCAAGGGGACCGTGCTAGCAAATAAGGACTACCAGGCAAATGTCAGCCCCCAAGCAAGAGTCCAGACCTCTGCCCCGGTATCACATTTGTACACGGGTATTTGGAGAGGTGGAATCAGGACACCACAGAAAAGTAGCTCTTGGCACCCCTTCACGGACTTCCCTTAAAGGAAAGAAGAAGGAAAAGAGGAGCTGAATCCAGGGAGATTTAGCTGATTGCAAAGACATAGTTTGAAAGCAGAAATCCAAATTTCATTGGCAAGTTAATCAGCAGGGAACTTTCATCCACACCACGCCGAAGCTCTGCAGAACGGATGAGCATGTGAGCTGCTTCTGCCCACCCACACGCCTCTCACCACCAATCTGCTGTCCTACTACAAGGCCATGCTTGACAAGATACTATCTTTAGCTCACGATCGTCTGAGAAGGACAGTGTAGTCTTTTCAAATTATGTCCAGGAAAATAAAATACAAAGCCTCCGCTGCAGGAGTCTCCTAAGTTTCCCAGGCACCTCACCTGAAGATCATCAAAAACAAGGAAGCTCCTTGTCCATCCTCTGTGGCCTTTGGTGAGACCTTTCCCCAGCACCCCCTGCTGTACGCTGTAGGTTGCTGTCCATTCCCATAAACAGATGCCTCAGCCGTGGCTCTGTGTCGCAGTGGGAGAGGTGTGAACGGAGAAAGTCATCAGCCAAGTCTGGCCTTCAGAATTACTGTTTGTCTATGATCTTAGCAAACGCACGCTCATTGGATAAGCATGGTGGTTTGCATGGAGTGCCCTAGAACAGAAACGGAAATGGAGAGTCTTCAAGTGGTTTTTGGAGTGTGTTGCCTTGTGATCTAGGGACCAAGAGATGCGGCCTAGCGCGGGGAAAATGTGATCTGATCTGAAGTCCAGCTTTGTCACCTCCCTGAGAGTGGGCCCAGTTCGTGGAGGCCTGCAGGCTCTGTGTTTCTAAGTCAGACGGTGCATGGGCAAGGGTAGTACTGGGTAACCTCCCGCATGTAGTGGGTACACTTGGCTGAGAGCTGTTCTCTGGAGCAGGGAGCAGTCCTGAGAGACAGACACAGGGAAGCCTGGACAGGCACCAGTGTCAGCACTCCCCGGGCCTCTGGGGGGAATGACTGAATCGGAAGCTCTGGGACTGGGTCCATATGGAATCAGCCCTCCAGGCATTCACGACGTGTGCTCCAATGGGAGAATCCTGGTTCTCACTGCGAATGCTCTTCTGATACACCATGTGCCAGAGGTCCAAGAGCTGCCGAGGGAGGGAAAAGCCCATCACTTCACTCTCAGAATACTTTCCCTGTGCTGTCAGCCAGCACTTCCAGTCCGGTGTCCTGACACTGCGACTCACGTTGTAAGAGAAAATTGATACTAAAGTGGAACAAATACCAAGCGCGTCGGAAAAACCTAAGGCCCTGGAAAAAGAAATTGAGTTTTCAAACGTTCCAGGTGCACTATTTAGTCCGGACCTTCCATTGCTGGGCTTCTTCCTTTCTTCTAAGGCATCTATTGTTCTTTTCAGAGTTTCATTAACCTCTTCACGAACTTGATTCTCAGTTCTAAACATTTTTTATAAATTTCCTAAGAAACTACTGATTGAACTGTTGCTTTCTCAATCTAGGAAAGTAGAAAATTGTCAGTTAGAAAATAGTCCATTAAGGTATAAATCTCAACAATAAATTCTATAATATTTTACGTAAGAAACATTCTCAAAAATATTTTATTTCTTGAAATTATTTATACTTATATTGAGGGAGACTAAATAAATGCCCCAGAAGGAAAATCCTTCCAAATAAGAGACTAAACTGAGAAAATATGAAATCAGTTTTCTGAACTGAAAATAAATTGTATCATAATTCTCCAGTCAAAGGTTTTTATTCCTATTTGTCTGGTACTATTTCATGCTCTAAACAAACTTCTGGGGAAGTAAACAAGGCATAATTGAATTACTTGTCACTTTAAAACATCCTCAATTGTACCAGTACTCCACGTATGTATGTTCCTATATTCAATAATTTTAAAAATTAATCTTTAAACTTTCAAATTGTCCTTTAGAAAGCCAGGATTTCTGTCTTATATTCTTCCAAAGGTTAGACTAAAATTGGAAGTATAACATGTTCCTGAAAATATAATTTCTGAATGACTCCAACTTCTTTTAGAGAAGGGAGAAGTTGCATTCTTTAAATTTTTAAATATCAATAGTACCTTCAAATTTTCTGGAAGACAAAAATCCATTTTTATTTATAAAGATTACTGGGAAAAAGAAAAGGTATGATACAAAGGAAAATGTGAGTTCAATTTTAATATTTTAAGCATTTATGATTCATGAAACTGTTGATATGTTTCCTCTTCATATGCAAATATAAATACTTTTGGCAAAATATGTTTAAAGTAATGCTTTAAATATTTTATCCAGTTTGTGAACTTAACATGTAAAATCATCTATTCATCAATATTAACTGCACAATAAAATGACTTATTTCATCTGAATTTTTTGCTACAGTGATTTTTCAAATGTACATCTTCACGTTCTGTTTTCCTTATTTCTACTGAATATATGAATGTATCACTTCCCATTGCACCAATAAGTCATTTGGAACAAACCTTTTAAATCAGACGTTGTTATGGTTTGCATCTTGATATCACCCCAAAGCCTCATGCAATCACAGGTAGGGATTTACAAGGTGACTGGATCTAGAATGTGTGAGTGAGTCATGGTACAAGGCTGGGATCCAGGGCACTAGGATTGCGGGTGTGGGTGCTACCCACCCTGAGTACTCTGGATAGGATGTAAGGGTGTAAGTTTATGCATGTAAGCCAAGTAAAATTTTCTTCCTTTAACTTTGGGCATCAAGTACTTCGTCTCAGCAACAAGAAAAGTAACGAAGACAGACCTCAACAATAAATACAATTTCTCAATTGTTTAACAGGAGAGTTCTCACTAAAATGGGATGTTAGGATCCCCAATTAATGCTTCCCATCAAGCAGAAACTACCTTTTATGTTTGTGCTTGTTTGAAACAGAATCTCACTATGTAGTTCAGGCGGGTCTTGAACTCATGGTGATCCTCCAGCCTCAGGCTTCCAAGTGCTGGAATTACAGGTCTGCACCACAACCCCAGGCCTCCACTAGGGTTTTTAATTAATTGTATTTTTTTTCTTCGTTAGAGCTCAGCTTCTAAATTATACAGAGGCTCTGGAATTGACCAAGTATCTCAACAAGGAAGAGAATTATCTGCCGTGGCAGAGAGCCATCACAGCCTTGACCTACGTCGTTAGCATGTTTGAAGATGACGAGGAAGTGTACCCGCTGATGCAGGTGATGCTGAACGCTGTGGTTTATTATGACAGGATGTTCACCCAATAGGAGAATAAAATGTTTCTGAGAGAAAAGGGCCCTGGGAGATCCCAAACATTTCTACCCACCAAGTGCAGTGATGTGACTCGTATTTGTGGTTCAGTATGCTGTACAAACACAAATACGTTTAGGATCAGAAGGAATACAGCACTTAATATTTTATTGAAAATTTAAAACAGTTTAAAGCTATAAATACTAACTAGATCCTATTTTTACTTATCTCTGTTAAAATACATTTATCCCTGTCAAACTATAACATTATATTTCTTCACTGTTACTGCTATTATTTCCACCTGGGAACTCGATGTATGAGATAGCCTTTCTAATTGCTTTTGGTTTTTTGCTGATTTCTACAGAGCTTTTGCAAGACATCTGTAAATTTAAACAAAATCTGGAGTCAAGTCCCTAACTTTCATTTACTAAATGAAAGACTTCGGGACAGTGATTTTAATATTCGTGGGTGTTACTTCCTTTGTATAGTTAAAACATTATTAATACTTGCCTGCCAAGAACAATGGGTTAATGAGAATCAAATGATGTAAAAGTACTTTGTAAATTGTGACTATCACTCATCTTTATTATGTCATCGATACTTGAATAATCTTATTGCCAGAGATACATCAGTTTTTTCCTCCTTGTTATATATGTTAACTACAAGATGGTTGTTAAAGGGGCTGACCCCAAGCATTGTAAAACACTAGAGAAAGATCCAGGGAGCCTCATACCTTAGGATTCAGGCAAAATTGCATTGTGACAGAAACTGAACACATTTCTTTGTAAGCCAGGCTCAGAGTTTTCTGAGCTAGTAAGAAAAAAGATTACCACAGGGAGCTGCCTATTATGAAGACTGTTGAAAGCAGTAAGTTGTGACTCATGGTACATGGTGCTTTTGTTTCAGGCCTACTTCCAAAATCAAGTGAAGCCCCTTGCAAATTCCCTTGGATGGACAGATACTGGTGACCACCTCACAAAGTTATTTTTCATCTTTTTAAAGCTAATATTCGTTTAAGATTTGTCGGTATGTTTTAAGACATGTAGGAAAATGCTTAAAGCTCTGGCTTTGTCCCTATTTGCTTTTTAAAGGTTGCTCCGTGCCTCTGTGCTAGGCTTTGCCTGCAAGATGGGTGATAAGGAAGCCTTGAACAGTGCTTCTCAGTTATTTCAGCAGTGGCTAGCTGGGGCTGACAGGTAACTGGTCATTTTTTTATCATTTATGGCAGACTTAAAACTGAGAAATAAATAAATGAAATCTCTGAAACATTGTGTCTTCTTCCAGTATTCCTGTAAATCTCAGGCTTCTGGCTTACCGGTATGGCATGCAGAACTCTGGCAATGAGACTTCATGGGACTATACTCTAAAAAAATACCAGAGCACTTCATTAGCTCAAGAAAAAGACAAACTGCTTTACGGGTTAGCATCGGTGCAGAGCGTTTCTCTTCTGGCAAGGTAAATCGGTGGGATTTTTGCTGGCTCATTTTTGGTTGTGTGGCCTTGGGGATTGAACTCAGGGCTTTAAACAAGTTAGTCAAGGGCTCAACCACTTTGATACACTCCCAGCCCAAACTGACATGAATTGTACTTAATAACTTATGTGCTCTTTAAGAGTCTGATTAATAAAGTATGATGTCATTTCCAAAATATTCATGAAGAATAATTTTTCCCGTCAGAAACAAAATATGTGTTTAAGATTGGCCTAAAGAAATAAAAAAAAAAGAATCAAGAAATATAATCTCATGTGAAAATATTCTGGAGGTGGGTAGTTTCCAGTTATGTGCAGTGGATCCACATTTTCTTCCGTGGCCTGAGCTATTTCTCTTTTTGTTCTCCTGTGCTCAGTGTACTGGATGGTTCCTTACTTGCAGAGTTCCAAACATGTCCTCTTCACATAAAGATGTCCAACGAAGCAGTAACAGAAGCAAGAGGGTTTTCTCACAGGGTCTGTCTTTTATGCCAAAAGGGCAAATTTCTTCTCTCTGTATAATCTAGAGCTGAGTCATACTTGATCATTCTAGGTCAAACTACAGGTGTATCATTTGGGCAATTTGCTAACTAAGATAAACTTGAATTCTTTTGACTTATTTGGGCCAATTATGATTCTCTGAGGCTGTGGTAGGAGTTTACCTCTCCCTAGGACCAAGGTCAGCTAATGACACTGGGAGAAAATTGAGCTCTGTCAGTAAAAAAAGAAGAGTGTACATATATATACACACATATACATATGCACACACACACATGCACACACATTTACATTCTGCAGAGACAATTGGAAACCCATCTATGAATTTTTTCCCACTCTATACCAATGCCCCAAATTAACTAGCTTCTTTTGCTATTTTAAAGAGAATAAAAACCAACAAAACAAAGCAGAATAAATTAACTAGCTTCGGTATCTGAATTAATGCCCTCATTTAACTAATGCTTATGACATCCCTTCCATATGTGTGTGCGTGTATATATATCTATATACATGTGGAATAAAAATGACTAACACATGATATCTGTTCTTTAGAAACTTATAACTTCATGAGAGACAGAACATAAATATTAAATTACAATACCAATTTGAAAGAACTACCAGAAGTAGGATGCTTTTACCTAGCAGGGTCAGAAAATACACCTTCCCATTTTAACTCAAGGCTATATTCATTCTGCTTGCTCTTACAAAACAGATCATAACTTGATCATTTTAATATCACAAGGTAATTTATTAATATTTACAATTTTATTTTTCTATATATCAGTTAAAATTAGTTTATTTATTTATTTATTTTTGAGAGTGTTTCACTGTGCTGGTTTTGAGCTTACTTTGCAGCCCAGGCTGGCCTCAAACTTGCAACAATCCTCCTGTCTCCGCCTCCTGAGTGCTGGGATTACAGGTGTGCACCACCACACCCAGCTCATAGACTAGTTTAGATAAAAAGAGAATTGGATTATCTTATTGCCCATCTTTTAAAACATTACACTGATTCGATAACTTATAGCATTACACTAATTGTATCTGGTAAAGAACTTTAAAAGTACTTTTGATGTTTTATTAAGGATCTTGTAAAATAGAAGATAGGGGATAGAGTTTACAGAAACCCACTTCAGTGATTAAAACGTGATATCTATCCTAGAAACTTTTACCTTCATGAGAGGCGGTTTCTGGAATCTCTGAAAAAGTACCTCCAATATGAAAGGCAAATTGTTTGCCTTGTATTAACAACCACAGAACTTTATTTTAATGGATGTAGTAAGCTTTGCAAAAAGTTTGAGGCCATATATCCACATTTGAATGTGTTGCTTCAACCATTCACAAAACTTTCAATTTTGAGTCTAGGCCAGAGCAAAAGAAAGCTCTGCAGAAGACCAGCTGCAGTAAAGCTTCCCTTGCCCTTCTTTTTAATCTGAAATATACGACAAATATGTAGAGTTTCGTATCAGTGTAGGTTTGTTCTCAAATGCAAGTACAAAAAGAGGCAAGTCTTGACTTCCCATGTCTTGTTCCCAAGAGTCCCCACACTGTTGAGCGATGAGATAGTAAAGTGCGGAATGACCAAGAGCACCTTTGTTTTGCAGTTTTTAAATTGAAAATCTTCCAGATTTAAATCAGGTATGAAATTAGAAACCTAGTTTCATCTCTGGGGTAAATGTTCAGGCTTCCAGAGCTCCTACAGCTCTCCTGTACAGGAAGACAAAAGTCATCCTGTAGCAAATGAAGAAGAAGCTGGTATCCTTACTGATGTGGCCTTCAAGTGCTTAACTGTTTTCATGCTGGACCAGATTCCACGGGGCCTTTGTGGGTCGTATTTTACCTACTGCAACAGTCTGTGGTGGAGATCAAAGCTGTGGTCCTCCGTTACTTTCTCTTGCTCATGACTCTGCCTTGGGACATTTTTGTCTTCCTAGAGGCCTTTTCAGCACCCTACATTGTTATCACTGGACGGAACAACCGTCTAGGTCCCCAAAGGAACCACAAGCCTTGCTTTGCACCCGCTGATATCTTCATCTCAGTTTGCTCAGGATCGGCTGCCCCTCTTGCATACTGTGACAGATGGAACACAAAAGTGAACACTGAGTGGAGGGTTTTTCTCTCAGACCCAGATGGAGTAGGTTTCCCATGTAGTACGGGTTTCCCTTTGAGCTGGAGTTTTTTCCAGTCTTTCTTAGAATACATTTCTATGGTCGTATTATGAGAGAAATGTGGAGAGATCTTTTGTCTTTGGTGAAGGCTGCCTCTCAGAACTATCTCATAACTCAAGTCCAACAGTGTCCTCTTGTTGTAAGTATCATCTCTGATCCCTTTAAGGATACAAAGGATCCAAGCCGATGAGTAGGAAGCCACAGAACAATGAGACTAGAGTATAAAAATACATCCGACTTATCTGCAACAGATACCCACCTTGAGTTACCTTTCTCATAGCAAATAAATAACTTAGCAGTGTTACTTGGGAACATTTTTCTAATAACAATATGCCCTTCGGTAGGGTCTTGGGCTAGAAATGAAACTCTTGATACAACTAGAATATAAAATTAATAGACTATCTATTTAGTTACTTAATTTATCTTGGATCTATTTGTATTATGCTATAATCATGGCCAACTAATTTAACCACATAGATTATATTAGGTTGCTTTTTACAGCGTAGGGAAGAGCAAACAAAGTTTAAGTGTTATACTATAGTAAATAAGAGTGCAACTGCTTTTTATTAATTTTCAACTGTTTTTTAAATCCAGTAGGACAACAGATAAATAAAGTACTTCTATTTTAAAAGCCCTGTTTTAAAAATTAATCATTAAAATTCAATATTTTAAAATTGTTTTACTATTTCAGAAATAATTTAGCTTTTAATGTCCCTGTAGTTTACACTTTACCAATCTCCAAAATTATAAGTTATATCACAAAATTTTATGACGTCTTTCATCATTTGTCACATTTTATTCACTTTGTCATTTTCTGCCTCAATAATTAAGTTGCTGGAACGAAAGCTATGCTGGACTGGAATTTAGCTAGTGGTGCGCGTGTAAAGTTAATTTTGAGTTGTTGTCCTGCTTTCCTCCTCTTAGGTATCTGGACTTGCTCAAGGACCCAAACGTGATTAAAGCGCAGGACGTGTTTACAGTCATCCGATACATCTCCTATAACACTTACGGGAAGCGCATGGCCTGGAACTGGATCCAGCTCAACTGGGACTATCTGGTGGACAGGTGGGCAGCAGCCCTCGTTCTTGTGTGTCTTTGTTTGAGATCAGCCTCGAGCTCCTTCCTTCTCTCTTTGGCGTGACTTCTCTGACACTGTATCACATCTGAAACAAAGATTATCAGAGGTAAAGGATCATGGTATTTTCCTGCCGAGGAAGCATGAGCTAGTTAATTTTAGGTACAATTGTTCTAGAAAGTATTATTTTCAGTGGAACAAAAGGATTCTGAGACCCAGTAAGGTGCCTAAATTGCAATTTTTGGGGTTTGATTAAAATAAGTGAATATAATTCTACGTACCATGATAGAACCTGGCAGAATGCCAACCATATATTTAGTTTTCAATTAATGTTTGATAAAAACTAAATGGAAGGCCAAGGGATTTAGCTCAGCAGCATAAGTGCCTGCTTGGCAAACGTGAGGTCGTGAGATCCATCCTGGGAGCCAAAAAAAAAGAAACCCTACATGGAAATCTTGGACTTTTAGCATCCTGTAACTTACTGAATTTATTGAAAGGGAACTATATTTCCTAAACAACAGCAGCACTGGGTGGGGTGTTCTGTTCTGCTTTGTTCTGTTTGGACTTGGGTGCTAGCTATTGAGTCCAAGGCCAGCTCCTACAAAGCACACCCTTTGCCACCATGCTATGCCTTATGCCCAGCAATTGCAGTTGTCCAACAGGGAATAGGACAAAAGAAAAAAAAAATCAATGAAAAAGATGCTTTTCCAAATTTCTTATTTCTTTGGCCCATGCAGAAGAATTATTGCTATTTTGGGTTCTGGTCCTCTAAATGTGATGTTCAATTTCCATTAAAAAGGCTTTTCTTTGACAGAGTAAAAATAGAAAATAGAATGCATGCCTGTCCCAAATAAATGTGTAAACATTGACAAAAAGATCTTTACCATCTGTAACCCTCGCGTTAGGAAATGGTTTCTGTTATCCCTTCCTAATCTCCTCATCCATCCCCAAGTACTGACTGTCTTGAGGGAAATACCAACCACAGCAGTAACTCTCACATCTTTGCTCTGTCCTGTCCTACAATTCACACTGCTATTGTCTATTTTAAATTTTGTTTCCTTCTGACATCTACATTGTATCTCTGGCTCTCAACCCAGATATTCTACACTGCTTTTGCCTGCTCGTGAAGGATTTTTTCTGTTTCCTGTTCTTATGACTGGGAAGTGTGACTGTTTGTTCTTCTCTGACATTGGTCAGTACAGTACACTGCATACAACTGTACTGTTAATCTGTTTCTAATTTCTATACAATACATGGTTTAGCGTGAACAAATCTACCTGTTAAGAACAGGCTATGTGGGTGTAACAGTTCATGTCATATTAGGTAACACCCTTTATTAGAAATATATACCCCTAATGATACATACTACCTGTTTTGTTTTAGTTGAAATATCCCAAAGCTTTTTTTTTGGAATAAGAAAATAAGCACAATATTTACTTTTGAATTATTACAGAAAGGTAAGTAAGTAATGTTTATTTTATAAAATAAAATAGGCATCATTTATTGTTTATTACATACAGTATTTTTCAATGCCTGTTTCCATAGGATCAGTGTGATTTATCTGAAATAATACAATTTTCACAGGCCGGGACTGTAGCTCAGTGGTGCCGCATCTGTCGGGCAAGTGTAAGAGTCTATGTTTGATTCCCACTATCCACAAAACAAAACAAAACGTGAAACAATACAATTTTTATCTGTAAAAATGAATTCACTATTATGTCTCAACAACTTAAGAAGTCAAAAAAGTAGATTTTACCTTTTCTTAGAGGTCATAACTATCTGAACTTTAAAAAATGAAATAGACCTAATAAATTGAAATTTACCCCAGGCTTTTAGTATTTCTTCATAGCATATTGGTTTAAGTTCCATAAATTATTATTTCACATAGCTTCAAACATAAAATTATACAATAATATGTCTGACAGTTACATGAAAAGCAATGGAATGTTTTGTTTCAATAAATAGAATTTTCCCTATGAAAAATTGTGAAAGACAAATTAAACTGAAGTGGGCCAAACATTACACAAATATTTCCAAACTCTTGAAAATTTTCCAGACTTCAGGATACACAGTTTTATGGTCTTTCCTTCTGAACAATTTATTGCCATCCACAAGTGAAAAGCTGCTTTTTAATGAAACTTTCATCACATGACTTTTATGACAACAGATCACCATGTCATTACTGCTTGGCTAAATTAAGCCTGAACCACAGTTCCAAAGATACTTTGGAGATCCTTCTCTATTTCTGTTTCTTCTATGAAACTCTTAGGTGAAATATGAAACCGAATGAATCCAGGAAGACAATAGTGTGATATGTTAAAGTTTGATTTTGGTTTTTGACTACAGATGAAAAATCAAGACAATAATTTTGACTTAATGAACATGACTGAAACAATTTAACCACTAGCTCATAAAGCAATTTAATAAGCATTTATCTGAAGTTTTTGTGTGCACCCATGTATTTTGCAAAATATGTTATGAAAAATAAGTATTAAGCCCAAGAAGATAATTTTTATATAATTTTTCAAATTGTTTAACATAATTTAATCGTTATTTTAGTTTTCTTAATATGGCATGTGATAAATACGCAGCATATTCTCTTTTATTTTCTGTACTTGATACATTTGTCCATAGGGATGAATGTATTTTATTGTATCATTTCTAGTACTGTACAGACAGTTGCAGTTTTTCTTCAACCTATTCATTGCTAGTTTCCAAGCAGCTCATTTAATTTGTGTCACTAGCAACAAAGCAGAAAGAAAAAAAAAATTTTTTTTTTTTGTCTTTTTTGTTTTTATCGGTACCGGGGATCGAACTCACGACTGCCTGCTTGCAAGGCAGGCGCTTATGCCGCTGAGCTAAATCTCCAGCCCCAGAAAGAAAATATTTGTAAAAATTTTATTAGTATACATTTGCAGTACATAATTATTACATTCCTTGTGGGGAATTGGTACCTGCACAAAACACCTCTCAATTACTTTTTATTGTTTTAATTTTTTTCTCAGGTTCTTTTTAGCAGAGAGAAGTATTATAGAAATCAAAGCTCATTAAAATTTGTGTCACATCTTATTGCAACAATTTAGTACATTTTTCCTTTTAAAATTTCTTTATTCTCATACTAAACTATGTCCTATTTTTGCACAACACACAGTTAATAGTAAAAATAATTACCTACAATGCAACCATCTAGAAATAATTTCTGTTTTTCCTTGAGTCATTTTTCTATGGCTATTAATTTATTTATTTCACAGAAATAGAACTATACGTATGGTTTTATAATTTGCCCTGTGTCACACATATAATTTGGAGATCGCACTGCATATTGTGGATATCTGTTCATGTCTTTATGCCTTTTTCTTCTTATTGCAATTATTGGTATATATTAATTGAACAGTATGTTTCTTCAGGACGTTTTTATACATGCATGTGATACCCTATAATCACATGCACCTGCCCTGATGCCCTCCCTTCCTCTCTTCTATTTCTAATAATCCCCCTTCTGCACTGATGCCATCTTCATTTCTAGAATGAAATAAGCTTCTTCAATGTTATTGATAATGGCCAAATAGAATTTAGTGTGCAGCTGCGTCTTGGTTTATGTAGGCAGGCTCCACCTCCTAGACAACAGAATTGTCCCTCTGCTGCTCTCAGTAACGTATTGATGAGCATCTTTAAATCCGAGTCTGTTTGTTTTTTGTGAATTTTCCCTGACAATATTTCCAGGATGTAAAGAATACTAGAAGTAATACTACTGACTTAAAGAAGGTGTTTATTTTTAGGGTTTCTGATAGATGTACAAAACTTACCCAGAAAAATTTTTCTAAGGATTCCCTGTTTTCCCAACCCCCTTCAATACTCAGTGCTGTTTTTAAAAATAATTCTGTTACCTGGATGGATAAAAACTGATATCTGATTTCAGTTCTTCACCCAGAAAACCACGCGAAGCAGTTACTGTGTGCCAGGCACAGTGACTGGCACTGAGGATGCTCGGATAAGGAGGAACTTGGCGGGCACGCTGTCTCGGCAGAGTGCAGAGCCCAGTGGTGGAGCCCAGCATGAAGGAAAGAGTAGCGGTCAAATGCATGTACTTAAGCCACAGCATCTGCCAAGAGGAGAGACTCGGGGCGCTCAGCTGCTGCAAAGGGGAAACAACCAAGCGAGAGGCACTGGGGAGGCGGACGCATCCTCAGGGAGTGCTGGTGACGGAGCTGAAGGAGAAGCAGGAGTGAAGGGGGAAGAGGATAAAATGGAAACAGCTTTGCAGATAGGGAGGGGAGATGGGCCGGAGGAAGGAGGAGGGTTGGGGAAATGAATCAGAACCTATCACGCACAAGTATAAACGTCCTGTGATGAATACGATCATAACATGTACCCAAAATGTCCCCAAAACTGCATTTGATATATATATATATATATATATATATATATATATATATATATATGAAGCATTCCTAACTGCTGAAGATCTCTCAGGAGAGGGAAGAGGTGGAGGCTAAGAGCTGCAGAGTCGCGTTAAGAGTTGGGCTTTGTTCTAAGAGGAACACTAAAGGTTTTCAAAGGCAAAAGTGAAATGCTGGATTTTCTTTCAAAAGGAAAACTGGTGGTAGGGTGAGGTGCAGACTTGGATTTGGGAAAAGCAGTTAGCTATCAGCTACAGTCTTGCAAAGACAGTGATAGATTAGAGACCCGCTGTACAGGTGAAGGGGAGAAGGTACAGTAACCTCTAGGACTTGGTGGCAGATTGGGAATAGGCCATGAAAATCAGGTGACAAGGATAATAATGCCTAGGACATGGTTTTCGGGAGACACAGCAGCTCAGCTTGCTCCTTGTGTTTCCCTTTTGTGGGGTCAAAGTGGAGACTGTTTCAAGAAGGGTGTAGGTCTTTGTTGATGTGTGTAAACTAAAGACCAAAAATTTACTGACATAAAATCCTTGCAAGAATTTTTCAGTAAAGTATGGAAGCAGACTCCGACTGAACAGAATCACGCATGCGTCAGTGAGGATATCAGTAACAGTAAGTGGGAAGCAAGAGAAAGGACATTGGAAAGATGCTAGATCAAAGAAGGGTTTCTTCTTCATATTTCAATACACTGACTATACTTAAATGCTGATGAGAAAGATCTGTTGAAAAATGAGACCATTAATATGTAAAACAGGAAAAAGGCTTTCTAAAAAAAGGATGTTTAAGAAAGAGGGAGGTGGAGCTGGGGATTTAGCTCAGCGGTATAAGCGCCTGCCTTGCAAGTGTGCGGTCCTGAGTTCAATCCCTGGTACCGATAAAAATGAAGAAGACCAAAAGAAAAAAAAGAGGGAAGAAACAGCAGCCAAGTCCCAGATGAAAGCAGGAAGACAGGCCTATTCACACATTTGCAAACTAAAGACACGGTGTGGTTGGGTATTTTCTACAAGAAGCAGAAGGAGGACACCTTGGAGTTGGGGGATCAAGAGGTGAAGTGGGTTTGGAAGAGAATGGAAACTTTTTTTTAATTCAAAAGAAGCAGAGTAACTGGTGAAGGTAATGTAAGAGGGTTATTGGTATGAGGGTCCACTTGAGATTTAAATCTGTGAACTTATAATGAAACACTGTGAGGAAAGTTCAGTGGCTTCCCATGTCAGCATTTGACCACCTGACTCAAACTCAGAGAGTGCGTGGTTGATTTCATCCAAAGGTGAGGTTTTGCTTGATGTAGATTATTATTAAAATTCCAGGCAGCTTAGGGCCAGCACAAACATGTTACTGGAAATGGTTCGACCATGGTGTCCAAACTATAGAAATAATTAAGTGAAAAAAGGGAGAGCTGGTGGTCCAGGTCAGAGAAGACGTGGGGACGGGCGGGCAGTGGGCCTCCAGGAGTTCTCACAGCGGAAACTGAATGACACATAAACTGTGGCCATGGATGCAGAGGACTTTGAAAGGTGATTACGCACTGTCGTGGGAGTTGGGTGGTGGAGATGGAGCTCAGGAAATAGCACTGGACATGAGATCAGGAAACTAAGGAGCCAGCATGCGGTTAGACCTTGTACCATCCAAGATGACGGTGTCCCAGGGAAGAGAGGGAAAGGAACAAGTGCCAGGGAGCATCGTAGTTGAGGGAGAATGTCCGAAAGGAGCAGAGGTTTTCTAATCTCTGGGTAGAGGAGTGATGGTCCGGGCTCAGCAATGGGACCTGTGTACACCGACCACTGGCCTGCCCTGGTGCCACAAAGGATGTGGCCCTCTAAGAGGCGGGGGGAGTTCTGCCAGCAAAGGCTTGGTTCTGGAGGCCAGGTGAAGGGTCCAGAGACAGGGCTACCAGGAGAAGGTCTCGGAGTCACACTTTGGATGTGGTTGATGACTTTGTCAATGAGAAGTGATTACATTCAAGGGAGCCTGTGCTAAGAGTGACATCAGACCTGGTACGCGGAAGATCACACGTGATTGCTGCAAAGAGCTCTTCGTCTCTCCCCACCAGCACTTTTGCTCGGCTTGCTCATTTCACACGGGCATATTCCTTCCTTTTCACCTTTATATGGTGAAAATATATTTCCTGCTAGTTTTTACTTTTTAGTTTGAAGTTCCTTTTAGTGGAAACATAAATATGTGTAAGACAAGCTTCAGCAGTGTTTAATCTTCATGGTGTCTTTTGCTTTTGCTATACTTTTTAAATATAAAATTTCTTATTACTTTATGTCTAGATATATCTTCCTTTTTCCCTTTACAACGTCCTGGTGGTCAAATTCTATACTCAGTTCTGCGGTCCTTTCTCTTGCACTGTGATCGGTTGTGATTAGATCTGTACCTGTATGATGCCCATGTACGTTATAGTTTAGAAGAAAACATTGGATTCTTGCTCTTTAAAAAAGAATATAAAGAAATGACATAGACTCTAAAATCCTATCGTCTTCTCTTGAAGAACTGGGTTACATGTCAGCTCAGAGCGAGGCTGAGAAGCATAATCGCTAGCTGAGTTCTCAAGTACACAGGAAAGAGAATATATTTATAGAAAAAGTCTGCTATATCTGAGAAAATGCTGTGAATCTGTCTACAGAAAGAAACACAGACTTTACTAAGAATGTCTCCTGAATGCAACTATTTTAAGTTAAATGTGTTTTCTGACTGTGTTAAGCTGACTTTGAAAATTACTTTAAACACACACAATAAAAAGGAAACACTTGTATCTGGAAAAAAGTATGAGGTTCCAGGCACTTATATTTCCTTTTTCTCGTCTGTATTTCAGATTTACGATCAATGACAGGTACCTGGGTCGCATCGTCACGATAGCAGAGCCGTTCAACACAGAATTGCAGCTCTGGGAGGTATGAAGCAATTCCCCTCTGCTTGCTTACAAGGAAACATATCAAACTTATTTCTCAAATAGAAGTGCTGCTTGCTTCACTCATCACAAAAGACAATGAGAAACAACATTCTTTTATCTAACACAGACATACCTAACGTTTCTGAGCTGAAAAAATTTCAGATGAGCAAGAAACAAAATTTTAGAGCTGGGAAAGGCAATGGTTGGGGATGTCTGGAGACACTTTGGTGTGCCAAAGCATGAGCACTGTGTCTGCCTTTTCCTGGTAATTGTGACTCTAGAATAAGCTCTTCAAGGTTTGATTCCACTCAAAACTCAAAATTTTGAAATTTCCAAATAAGTTTCAAACCTAAATTCCTGGGAAGGTAATATGTCCATTGGACAAATAGAAAGTGTGTGAAAGCTTGGTATTGGTTAGATATCAAGCCAAGTATTAAGATTCTTGCATCTGTTAAGAAACAAAATAATTGTTATTTCTGTCACTGAAAAATAATACTACGATCAAGTTTGAGAATAGTTTTGGAAGACAGAAAGGAGGGTAGAACCAGCTGAACAAAGGCTTCTTATGCATCTTTAATAAGTGAACTGGAATATTAAACCAGTTCTAGGAAGAGAGGGTAGGCAAAGCCATCATCCCATGGGCCACATTTTCCAGGGAACCCACAGGACATACAGAAGTCAGAAGCAGAAATGGGCAGGCCAGGCATCACATTCTGCCTCTTTTCTCACTGGTGAGAGCCTCTGTTCATGTGACAAGCTGTTGCTGTGCCCAGCATGACTGCGGATCTGAGACCTGGGTGCTGTCTGAACACTGCACCCACAGGCACATCTCGGTGGGGTACTGAATTTTCATGGGAAAGGGAAGCAGACCTGCTTTGTAAGTGAAATTCTTGAAGTTTGAAAACAACATTCTTAATTATTTCCCTGTCTTTTCCAGATGCAGAGCTTTTTTGCAAAATACCCAGATGCTGGAGCAGGACAGACACCTAGGGAACAAGTTCTTGAAACAGTGAAGAACAATATTGAATGGCTAAAGCAAAACAGAAACCCTATAAAAGAATGGTTTCTTGCTATAACGAAGGATGGTTAATGTGTTCAAATGTCATGCTGTAATTTTGCAAATCTGTAGTTTCTCCTGTTAAGCAAAACATTGAGTACCTAATTTACAGCACTGCAGGGGGAGCCTGCTTTTGCTGAGTGCTATGTTGATGTCTGGCAAAGCTTTTAAATTGTTCTTCTTTGTTTATGAAGGAAGATGCTAATAGAGTATTTAATATACTCAGGGATTTCTTCTAAGTGTACTTCATAGGAGATTCTTTACAAACTGAAGAGAATTTAATAGTCATTTTAATGTCTTTAAATATCATTCTTTGTATCTTAAATCTGTGAAAATAGAACAATTTGGTCTTAGCTTTACATTTTTAGTACCAAAGAAACACCACTTAATCTGCTCTCTTGATTGATTTTTAAAGTTTAAATACCAGTACTTGAGGGACACATTACCATCTTAATCTTTATTTTATTATTCTGAATTACACAGACCTAATATCATTTTATTCACATATGTCTTACTACTTTAAATCCTACCAAAGTAACCTGAGCTTAAATTTTGCTGGAGAACTGCATGAATTAACCAAAGAAATGGCTGACTGTTGGCTTTTCTCTTACAAAATCAACAAGAGAACTCTTCATTCTTTTTTAAAATAAATCTAAATTATTACCTTGAAAAACATTGTTTTTCAGTGTCACTTTTTCTTAAACACGACAGCGGCATCCCTTAAGTAATTTAGCGAGTCACATCTATGATTCAAGACGCTGACCTTCTTTATGCTTGGGGCTTTCTCATCTCTCCGCCCCTCACAAAGCTCCTTCAAATATGCTATGAAATTGGAGGGAATGGAGTGCTTAACTGTGCTCCGCGAATCTTAGAGGGAAAAAAGAACTAAATAATTGGAAACTATTCAGGAAAGAGATGGCATAACTTTATTCCATAAAGTTAAATGGAATTAGCGTTCCACTTGGACCTCACCTAGCAATCTAAGTGTAAAGAGAGAAACACGTAGACGTCTCTCGCATGATTCCGCATAGCCGAGGCTGGATCATCTTAGAGGTGAGTTTTACATTTAAACCCTTAGATCCTCACCCAGAGAGATAACACTGATCAAATTAAAATGCATGAACTGATTAAAGACATCAATTTCATAGAAGCTGGTGGCCAGAATAGCTTGGATGTGGCACTTAATGCCTAGAATAACCACAGAATAAGTCCAATAGATGGAAGAGATAGAAAATTACTGTGTCCCAATCTGTTTAATCCAGAGAAATCTAAATTTATACAGAACCTTCAGAAGCCTAGAGCACTGTAGGTTTGGCCTGACGAGAAATAAAGCCAGTGGGTACAATTGAAATCTTAGCTTTGATTTTGTTCATACAACCGTGGGTCACAATCACAACTTAAACTTTTCTGCTCCTCGTTCTTATGATGTCTTATTCCATGCAGCTAAACCAGCAGATTCAAATGTAGGTGGAGGGAAAAAGACATGGAAAATAATTTTCTATGAAAGTTTTAAAAACACTGTCTTAAATTATTTCAAAAGCAAGAGTGACATAGACATCCTGAATCATCAGAAGACACCTCTTGCTTCCTGAGGATTAACATCACAGCTTCCAGTTTTGAGCCTGTCGTGGTTTATGTCTGTGGCCCTCAGGCCTCATGCATTTGCATTGTGCATTTGTGATTGGTTCATTGTCTAGCGCTTGGATTGATGGTGTCAGTGCTACACCCGCCTATGGGTGGAGCCAGCACACAATGTAATGGCAGGAAGAAGGCGTGTCTCTCTCTTTCTGGTTTCTGCCTTGCTGTTTGCAGCCGCCATGAACTGCGGCCCCGCCATGCCACCCTGCCTTGGTGCCAACTGAGTATGAACTGAAACCTCCAAAAATTGTAAGAAATAAACCTTTCCTTTCCCAATTTTGGGCATCAGGTATTTTGTCTCAGTGATGAGTTAAAAGTAACTAAGACAATACTTAAAACATGAATTAAGTTCATCACTTAAAGCTTGCTTTGTCTGTACAAATCTCAGTATTCTAAGAGTGCACCTAACATGTGGATGATAATCTCATGACTAGGTAATTTCACTGTCTTCTTGTTGTATCCCACTCAGCTGCCTACCCTCACTTTTTCAGACATGCAGACATGTATTGAGTGTCTCCTGCTTGTCTGATGCCCTGCTATGGGCGTTAACCATGAGTAAGATGCTATCCTGCCTGCAACTTTAGCTCATCAGATTGGTGTCAATTCTCTGGGTGCTAAAACGTGAGCCAGAATAAACCTCTCCTCTGTCGAGCTGTGAACATTGGGTGTTTTTCCCAGTGATGAGAAAAGTGACCAACACAGTCCTTCTGCTCCAGGGATAGTAAATAGTCAGGGGCATGGCATCCAGAAGCTGCCAATCAGTGTCAGTCCTCAGAGCTGCTCTACCCTGCACGCCCATGGAAAATTTATGGATGTCTTATTTCATACAGCTAAACCAGCAGATTCAAATGTAGGTAGAGGGAAAAAGAGATGGAAAATAATTTTCTATAAAAGTTTTAAAAACACTGTCTTAAATTATTTCAAAAGCAAGAGTGACATAGACATTCTGAATCATCAGAAGACACCTCTTGCTTCCTGAGGATTAACATCACAGCTTCCAGTTTTGAGCCTGTCATGGTTTATATCTGTGGCCCCAGGCCTCACCTGTTTCCTTCCAGATCTCATATAAGCAGTCATCCCAGAGGAATCCAATCACAGGAAGCCTGGGAAGGGAGGTCGTTACCATCCCAGCCCCGGGAAATGGAATGAGGGACGTGAACATGTTAGGAAAAGGGGCCCAGCACTGACTTTAACATCCAGCACCGCTGTAAACCCCTGCATCTAACTGCACCCAGGTGTTAGACATTTATGTGCACAGGTGGCAGCATTAGTGTGTTAGGGCCCGTTACAGGAGCATGAGGGCAAAACACAGCCTGCTGGAGTTAGCCAGCTTCTCTCTACCCTTTCTGGCCTATTCTTCTCCATGTACCCTTTCCAGGGACCCCAGGGCCTTGTGTGCAAATGCAGGTTCTCTACCACCGTTAGACTCCCAGCTCGCCGGTTCCCTCCTAACTCAGTTCTTTTTGTTTTCATTTGCTTTCTAAAGCCATTTACTAATTAATGTAAGGCAAGCAGGAGACAAGATAGGGCTTATTATATAATAGAAATGTTAGAAATATTAGGTGGGTTATGCATGAAGACCTTATTCAATTGTGATAGTTAATTCATGAGCCGACTTGACTGGGCCCCTGGTGTCCCAGTGAAACACCACTTCTGAATGTGTCTATGAGGGAGTTTCCCGAAGTGGACAGCATCTGAATCAGAGGACTCCCCAAAGGAGACCACCCGCTCCAATGTGGTGGTCTCCATCCAGTGCCCTGGGGAACTGGTGGAGTAAAAGATGAGAAGAGAAGACCCCCGTTTCTACCTGGCTGCTCAGCCTGGGACATTTCTTAATGTCATTTCATCTTCCGCAGTCTCTGCACTTAAATTTCCACCACCAGCTCTTCTGATTCTCAGAACTTTAGACTCATTCCCGCCACCAGTGTCCCTGGGTCTGTGGCTTACAGAGGTGATATGAGAGGCTTCTCCATCTCTGTGGTCACGGGAGCCAGTGCTCCATAGTAATTCTTTTTACACATCTCCATCAATAATCTGAGAATAACACTGGTGGGAGAAGATGAAAACACAGGAAGGGGAAATATTTTTAAAATGAAGCAAATTCCAGCTCTTGGAAGGCTGAGCTAGGAGAATCACCATGAGTTCAAGGCCAGCCTGGGCTACAAGGCAAGACCCTGTCTCAAAAGAAAAAAAAAAAAAAAATGGAGCAAGACTAAGCATTACCTAAAGCATACTGGTTAGTTATCTGAGCCATGTTTCATAATAAATTATGCATTTTGAATGCCTGGGCAGAATTTTAATTTTTTATGACAAGTACCAATAGAAAATTGATATATTACTTTTACTAAGGAAAAAAAAAAAAAGATTTGAACTGCAAAGCCTCATTGTATAACCTTGAATCCTCACTCTTTTCTGAAATGCACACATGTGTCTAATTAAAGGAATATGATGATTCTAAGGTAGAATAAGGTCCAGAGATAAGGATGAAGGTGAAAACTTAAAACTCTTTTCTTCTTTTCTATACTATCTTGGTTACCTTTCTCTTGTTGCTGAGAAAAAATACCCAACACCCAGAACTAAGTAAGGAAAGGTTTATTTAGCTCACAGTTTGTGGAGGTTTCAGTCCATAATCAGCTGGCTCCAAGGCAGGGAGCCATGGCAGAGGGGCAACAGTTCAAGGCAGCAGAAGGTAGCAAAACGCAACAAGAACAAAAAAGGAGGGAAAGCCTCTTTTCCTCCCTTATATTGTATGCAGGCTACCTGCCCTAAGGTGGCTGTAGCACTCACACCATCTCCCTGTCCTCCTCTTGCACAGGATGAGGATGTTTACAGAGGAAAGACTCTGGCTCCCTGCTGAGTCACTTAGTTAAACTTCTAAATTTCTCAAGTTGACATAATGTATCTACTATTACATAATTATCTAACCAAGATTCCTTTCAACCAAAGACTTGCTCTCCTTATTCTTCTAATGCCTCCTTTCCTATACGCAAAGGATAAGGGTTAGAAGTGACTGTCTCAGCAAGTGTCAACCATTGCCCTCAACAACGGCTTGATACACATCCTTCTTGAGGGCATGGGAACCTTCTCTCATTGGTCTTAGGTTACATCTTTATTTGACTTCACAAAACGTGGCAAGCTAGTAAGTCTGTTCTCTCTCTTATATGTATCTTCAATGTTTCTTTTTCTTCTCTTTGCATAAGTAGAGAAACATGTTTCTTATTTTCCCCGTAAGAAATAAAAACTTATGGTGGTCCATTTTTAAGCATGCATTTAAGAAGATCCTATGTGAAGCGGACTTTGAAAAAGATAAAAATATTGAGAACCACCTTTACAGAATCTAAGTGTGAATACAGGGAGAGGAAAAGAGTATTCTTTTGGTCAAGGCTAAGAAGAAACATTGTAACTGCATAGGACAAGGTCATATAGAATCTTTAAACAAGCACATCTGCTTCTTGCAAAGAAGAGACAGTGCCATGAAGAAATTCAAACTCAAATTGGAGGGGAGACTGGGTAACCCTCAGGTGATTTCTGGGGAGACTGAGCACCCCTAGTACTCAGCCAGTAAGGACACCGAAGAAGAGCCCTGCATAGTAGGGCTTAAACTGGCCACACCCAGCCTTGTAAGACTGAATGCAAGCCTGGCTTTCACCAGGCTCCCTGTCACCCCCAGTGCATTCTTCTGGGTCTGGGCAAGCTACCACACTCCTCACACCCCAAAAGGACAAAAGGACAACAAAGCCGAGCAGACCAACCATCCTTTCTCAGTCTCGTTTCCAGGTCCCCCCTTATCTTTACTGCAACTTTCTCTCGAGATTGCGTATGTTCATCTACGGTCTCATCCTTCAGCCCATACTAATAAGCCTTTCATCTTCACGGTCCCACCAAAACTCCAAGGGCTGAGGTCACTTTGAAATACAGTAGTCAAGTCCCAAAGCGATTGTACAGGACGTGAAAATAGCACCACCCCCATCAGAGCTAACTGATCACTGGCTTGTCTAAAGTTCAGTTTAGAATAGATACATGAAATGAACTATG